TTTTTTTTTTTTTTTGCCCTTTTCAAAGCAAGATTTAAAACTCAAAGATCTATTAATAGAAGTGGGGGTTAAGTTGTTCTGGTCTGTTAATGCTCCTGAAAAGGGGTGAGGGATGTGCTGAACTTAACCAAAAGATGAAAACTATAAATGTTTTAAGAATTTAGATTAAATAAAAACTATAGTGTAGTTATTTTTATGAACTTTGGTAGGATAGGAGAAAGACAATATTGTAAGTAAAACTTTTATCTATTTAGAGTCTCAGGATTTTTGCTTGTTTCTTATGGGTTGCGTTTCTGCAGAAGGTGGCACTGATTCCTACAGTGAAGAATCTGATTCGGATTTATCTGACGTGCCGGAGCTGGACTCTGATATTGAGCAAGAAACTCAAATCAATTATGATCGTCAGGTCAGTAAGCAGTCAGCCTCTTAAATTCCTTATAACTCAGAATCTCCTTCTCATTGCGTTTGGACATTGACTGTAAATGGGTGGTACATAGGCAGAAGAGAATCAAGACAAGAATAAGGAAAATTATCTACTTCTTGTCTTTAAATAAAGGTTAAAAATAAGGTATTCACCCAGTCATATCCTTAAAAAAATTTTTTTGCCTGTTTTTCTGTTTTTATTTTTACTTATAATTTTAAAAATTAGTTTCAGGTGTACAAAACAATGCAATGGTTATACTTTTCACCCCTCACAAAGTGGCAACCCCTCTCCCCCATCCACTGCCCCCCATATCATACGTATCTATTACAATTCCATTGACTCCACTCCCCACACTATACTCCACTATAACATATAATCAAATATATTAAATTATAGTTGGCATACGATATTATTCAACATCAGCTTCAGGTGTACAGTGCAGTGGTCAAGCCTCTATACCATCCATGAAGTGGTTTTCCTAACAACACATGTGTCTGACACCCTACAAAATATTTACAACATTATTAATTATATTCCCCAAACTGTCTTTCATATCCCTGTGGCAATATTGTAGTTACCAATTTATGCTGTCTAATCCCTTCCCCTTCTCCCTCATCCCCACCCCGCTCCCATCTAGCCACCATCAGTTTTTCCTCTGTGTCTCTGAGACTATTTCTGTTTACTTTGCTCATTTATTCAGTTCTTTAGATTCCACATATAAATGATATCATATGGTGTTTGTCTTTCTCCGACTGACTATTTCACTTAACATAATGTTCTCTAGGTTCATTCATATCGTTGCAAATGGTAAGATTTCATTCTTCTTTATAGCTGAGTAATACTCCATTGAATAAATGTAGCACAGTTTCCTAATCCAGCCGTCTACCAATGGGCATTTCTGTTGTTTCCAAGTCTTGGCTATTATAAATAGTGCTGCAATGAACATCGGTGTGCATATATTTTTTCAAATTAGCATCTTGGGTTTCTCTAGATAGATACCTAAGAGTGGAATTGCTGGGTCATACCCTAGCAATTCTCCAGTTTTTTTGAGATAACTCCATACTGATTTTCATCTTAAAAAAATTTTTTTAAGTGGAAGGTAGTAGCAAAGTTTCGAAACTGAATGACAGCTGGGATTTTCTGCCTCTCTATCACCTAAAATTTTAAAATATTTTTTGCAGAAAAAAATGTTCAAGTAAGCTTACCTGATTTTGTATTAAACCATGTATTTTCTTTACAGAATAGGTAGCCTTGGAGCCATGATAGTTTGCAAGTGGGCTGTTACCCTGATTTCTCTCTTAGCTTATGGAGACTATTATCCATTTAATTAAAGTAAAAGCCTAAATACAATGTACATTATCTCTCTAGCCAGAAATCACCTCTAGTAGAAAAGCTGGGCAATTACATCCAAATTGGGTCCTAATTTTTTTCAAGTAGACATTTTATTGTAGCACTAAACAGTGAGTATTAAATAAAGCAACCCTTCAGGGGAATCTGGACACATATCACCTTATTATGGTGATAACTGTAGGAATTCTACTTTCTTTGACAAAGGTATGTGAAGCAGATTCTTTACATGAACATGGAGTGAATAAGGTTTCAGGTTTCAGACAAAGCAACTGTCAGTGTTGTCCATGGAAATTTACCATATAGGCCTGTCATACAGGCCTATGGCAGCTGCCATGCATGTATCAAGTGTCTCTGTGGGGCCAGAACCTGTGCTTTATATACACCAAATCCAACCCCACAATGACCTTCAGAGGTTAAGTAACTTGCCTAAAAACACATCGTCTGCAATATTAGGGTAAGAATGCGGATCTGGGCTTCTCTCCAAAGCACACATTCTATGTACTACTTCACTTTCCCTCTACAAAAGCACCAAATTTACTGCTTTTCAGATGATGTATATTTTCTCAGCCCATAATCATCATTCATTGATTCAGTGTTTCAAAATTTTTATCAGTAAAAAGGAAGTCAACTGATGGCTTGGGTCAACTTCATGACTAAATCAGTTTGTGTATTGATACAATGTATTATACAATAAAACTACTAAGGCTAAGGATTTGAAAAAATATTATTAATGTGGAAATATGCAAACACTAAACAATATTATACCCTGATATCAAAGGGAAATAGAATTCAAACAAAGTGAACATAAAATCTAGGAAGAAAAGAAGAGGAATTTTCTTTAGTTGGAAAGTTTTATTTAATAAAATGATGCCAGTAAAAGAATGAAAAGACATGACTATTGAAATCCATGCCAAGGATTTGTAAATTCTACCTGACTTCTTACTCTCCAAAGCTTTCACCTGTATTATTTGATTTACATTCACAATATTCTTCAGTTCTTCCTGATCAGGGATTTTTATTCTTTTCAACAGATAGGAATTTGAGGACCACAGAGGTTATGAGACTTCAAATAAACAATAGAAGTGTCAATTGCTCTAAATTAGTTGATGAGCTGATAAAAGCATCATGAATTCAGATGAATAATTATCTTTAGATTTTAAAAGCTTCGTTCATTGCATCTATAATAGACAAAACAGTAATGAGGCATCACATGACCTTTTGTGTTTTTTTTAAGAATTTTGGACAAATCCTAAACAGATTTTGTTATAATAATATTTCATGATTTTTTAGTAATATAGCTTGATCAAATAGAAACTTTCCTTTATAAAGGTGAGAAATTATTAATAAATTGTATTTTACTTTCAATGTGTTAATTGACATCTCTTGGTAGTAGGGCATAAATACATGGTAGACAAAAGATTGATTTTTATGTACGTTTAAATTAAATTGTAGGAAATGTTCTCTTAGCAGTACATTTTAGGTTCTAGGTTAGACCAAAAGCTTTGCTCTGTAGCTCAGAGTCTGATCTGTCCAGATGCATGAGGCCATGAAAGGAAAATAATTCCAAAGACTGATAACCATGATTCATGAGGTACACATTTTGCAAATGTCAGAATCAAGAAATTTCTTGCTTTAGAAGAAATTATAGCACAATACTTCATATTTCATTGATAACTTTAATAATTTCTTTATTTCCTAGAAAATTAATATCATATCTTATGGATATAAATTACTTAAACATAGCAAATTAAGAAAAAAAAGATTTATTTTAAATCTCAATGTCAGTTTGGCTCATTAGAAGAAAGTAAAATTTTATCTCATGTCATATGTTCTCAATTTTGTTTATCTTTCCAAGAACCAACTCTTAGTTTTGTTTATTTTTTCTATGATTTTCCTAGTCTCTATTTCATTTATTTATGCTCTAATTATTATTTCCTTCCTTCTACTAAATTTGGGCTTAGTTTGTTCTTATTCTTCTAGTTCCTTGAGATATAATGTTAGGTTGTTTATTTGAGATCTTTTCCCTTTTTTTAATGTGTGCGTTTATAGCTACAAATTTTTTTCCTCTTTGGACTGATTTTGCAGCATCCCATAAGTTTTGATATTTTATGTTTCCATTCTTATTTGTCTCAAAATATTTTTTTTATTTCCCTTTTGATTTCTTCTTTGACCCATTGGTTGTTCAGAAGTGTGTTGTTTAATTTCTACATATTTGTACATTTTCCAGCTTTCCTCCTGTTATTGATTAATAGTTTAATACCATGGTGGTCGGACATGATACTTGATATAATTTATATCTTTGTGAATTTGTTGAGACTTGTTTTGTTCCCTAACATATGATCTATCCTGGAAAATATTTCAGATGCACTTGAGAAGAATGTATATTCCACTGCTGTTGTATGGAATGTTCTATACATTTCTTTTAGGTCATTTGATCTATGGTGTTGTTCAAATCTCCTGTTTCCTTATTGATTCTCTGGATGAGCTATCCATTGTTGAGAGCGGGGTATTACAGCCCCAACTATTATTGTATTAATGTTTCTTTCTCCTTTTAGTTCTGTTAGTATGTGCTTTATGTATTTAGGTACTCTGATATTGGGTGCATAAATATTTACAATTGTTTTATCTTCTTGTAGGATTGACCCTTTATCATTATTAGTGACATTCTTTGTCTCTTGTGACCATTTTTAGCCTCATGTTCTCAAAAACGCGATTTCCTGCAATTAAAGATTTCCTGAGAATGTCAAGATATTAATGTTTTTGAAACCTGAAGAAAAGAGTTTCAACTAAATGTATTTGTTGTGCTTCAAGGTTTACAAAGAAGATCTACCTCAGCTAAAGCAACAAAGTAAAGAGAAAAACCATGCAGTGCCCTTCCTCAAACGAGAAAAGGCTCCCGAGGACAGCTTGAAACTCCAGTTCATACACGGGTGGGTGGCCTGTCCCCAGCCTTATCACCAGGCTAAGAAGGCCCCCTTTTCTCTGTCCTTTCCCACTTCAGCCTGGCTCTTCTCTCCAGTGTGCACTTACCTGTGATTATTCTCTGTCCAGTTTTCTCAGTCAACATTCCGTGGCCATCACAATGCATCTGGACTTTTCATACTTCATATACTTCCATGATGTGTATGTTTATGTGGCTCATTGTTATTTCACTTTATGCTCTCCACCATCTCTGTTTCCTTTATTCCCATAACTCCTGCTCTATTTTGCTTGGCTCCAACTAGGACAATATTTTCTTCAAATATTTTTGCTTACATATGCCCAAAATCATTTTGAAGTTTGAAAATTATATACAACCCTTCACATTTTAAGTTAACATCTAAAATTTTTCAGTTAAAGTATGAATTGTGACGTATATAATATCTAGTGTTTTATGAATACATCACCCATTTAAATGGATCCAAGGGAACCTAAATGGCATAGATATTTGATTCCCACTATCATCAATTTAAAAATCACGTGAACAAGTGCTTCTATAAAAGTAGGAAATTTTATATCATTCATATTTTTCCTTGAAGTCATATTTTCATTCTACTTCTCCCACAGAACTTTACCCTAGCATAATATTTTTATGCTTGAAAGTCTTTTATTTATTTGTTTAAAAGATTTTATTGGGGAATTGGGAAAGGGGAACAGCGTTGGGGAATCGGGGAAGGGGAACAGACAAGTTGCTGTCCTTTTGTTCTTCAGTCTAGTTGTGGAGGATGTCACTTCACTGGCCCATGTTGGTATTGTGATCATTGTGCTCTTCCCGGGTGAGGCAGATCGGTCGCCGGCTTCTGGACGGCCACTCACTGCGGCTGCTGGCCGCTGACGCTGGCTGCTGGCTACACACGGTAGCCCATGGCAACCCACTGCCACAGGTGCTGCAGCCTACGCCGTCGCCTCATGGCAGCCCAGCTCCAGGTCGAGCTGTTGTTCACTGTCTTAGCTGTAGAGGGTGCAGCGTCACTGGCCCTCATGTGGGATCCAAACCAGGGCCCTGCTGCTCAGAGCTGGCATTCCCAAGCCAGCTCTTAACCAATGCACCACTCGGCCAGCCCAAAAGTCTTTTATTGATTACCCAGTCATACTGCTGCTATTTATTCAAAAATGTCTACAGGTTCGATTTAAATTTAATTTCCTGTGACCATTAGATTCTAACTCTGTGCTGTCCAGTGTGGTATCCACTTATAGCCACTGAGACTTGAAATATGGCTAGCCTGAATTGAGATGTGCTGTATGTGTAAAATGCACACCAGATTTCAAAGATTTAGCATGAAAAAAGAATGTAATATATCTTATTATAATATTTTATATTGATTACATATAGATATAATATTTTAGACATATTAGGTTAAATGTTTTTAAAATAAATTTCATCTGTTTTAATTTTTTTAACATGACCATTAGAAAATTTTAAATTACCTATGTGGCTCACATAATATTTCTGTTACCCAGTGCTGCTCTAATTGTTAATAATTTTTTCTAGATGGAATTATTCTTATAACTATTAGTAGTACACAGCTGACCAAATCAATCTAAATATAGTACAAATTTTGATAAACAGTTATTAAACAAAGAAATTTATTGGAAAAATTAATAAGATAGAATTTTTCTTTCTTTCTTTCTTTTTCTTGTCCAAGGCTTAGATGTTTATGAGGTACATATGACCCTTTGGGTCATATAACACAGAAACATATAATGCATCATATAACACAAAGAGAAACTACATAGAATTGTCATCAGGATTCTTTGTGAACACTCCCAGTGCAAAGAAGCTACCATCATCTTAGTATGAGTTAAATAGATCACTTTGCCTCTGTTCACACTCAGTGCTCCCTCATGACTAATGTCCTGTGATGGACAGAAGAGCACGGCCTTTGGCAATAGGCAGAAATAACTTTGATTCCCAGCTCTACACACTTACGTGAGCTTGGGCAAGTTCATCTCCCTGTCTCTCTATTCTTTCATTTGTAAAGTGGAATAATGCATAAATATGCAGGGCTGGAAAGTTCAGAGGCAAAATGTATATGCAAAAAGTGTGAAAGTACTTGTTAGGAATAAGATAGAATTTTTCAGTGAGCTCAGATATAGGCATATATATGCATACTTACTGTTAGTGTGACAGGATTTAGCATGGAATCTATTCCCATTTTTCATTTTTTTAGTATATCTAAGCATTGAGAAAGCTTATTCACAAATATGTCAATGAGAATGGAAGTAGTTTTATCATAGCAACATTAATTATTTAAACTCCTCTTAAATTTTAGGCCAAAAATACTGGGGGTGCCAAAAAAAAATGTATATGAGTGGGTACTTTGGTCAACGTTATTCAAGCAGTAGTTCACCATAATCAGAAGTGTGTGGATGCTGATGGCAACCACTTTGAGCACCTCTTGTAATTGCGGAAGTCAAACGTGACTTGTGTTCATCTTTTATTATTGGTATATATTGAGTATTACAATTTTAATACAGTCTTGCTTTGTCAAAATGTGTATACATTTTTTGGCACCCTCTGTATATATTGTGATTTTGATATATCACACAAAATATAGTCTAATGAGCTATCAGTTGACAATTCAATTAAATTGCTCTTTAATTTTGTTAACAGCAAAAAATTGGAAGTCACTTGACTTGCAAAAGGAATTCTTACCCATTTGTTGGAGTTTGTCCCATACTTGGATTTTGTCCCTTTGTTTTAGTGTCCCTGAAAGGTTCGACATTCCAGGTTAATACACCATAGTAACATTTCCAGATGGATGACAGGAACTATTTCCTAAAGTGGGAAGAAAGCAATTGTGAAAGTGAGGTGAGAAAGAAAAACGTGCTCCTTGTCACAGGTGTGTTCTCAGGCTGGTCAGTTTTAAGACAGGGCACATACAGTAGCTGAGGATATGGAAACAGATTCCGTTAAAATGATCAGTGCCCATTTTCCTCTTCGAAAGTGTCATCACACGCCCTCAGAAGTCCTCATTCCTCTAATGAAGTGAAGCAGCTATGAAGACACCTGTGTTTGTGCTTGTGCATGTCTGTATGTTAGCTTTACCTTCTAACAACTGCTCTGCTCATTCATTGTTCATTCAAATATTGTGCATTTCTTGGACCTGTGCTTCAGTTACAGGGGCTATGACTGTAGAAACAACCTGTTCTACACACAAGCTGGAGAAGTGGTCTACCACATTGCTGCCGTTGCTGTTGTGTACAACAGGCAGCAGCACTCCCAGAGGCTGTACCTGGGGCATGATGATGACATTCTCAGCCTGACCATCCATCCAGTGAAGGACTACGTGGCCACTGGGCAGGTATACATTTTTCCTCTCAGCTGGGGGCCTAGCCAAAGAGACAGAGGATTTAATTTTGAATACAGTTTACATATTAGAAATTCAAGAAATACTTGGTAGAGATAAAACCGAGGCAGGAAGCTGAAGATTGAGTGAATGCTGAATCATTTCATGATGGTAGGAGAATCAACCAGTACATTCTAGCATGATTGGGAAGCCTCTGGGAGATTCTCATCCTAACATGACGAGATCTATGAATAGGATTAGCTGGAACAAACAACGCAAGTTCCATGAATGCACAGTCTTATACGTTGCTCATCACTCTATACCTAGTACTTAATATATCCTAGGTACTCAAAAATGTTTGACCCAATGTTTCATACTAGCGTAACGTCTAGCGTTTATTTTTTTTAAAACAAAGTCATAAGGATTTTGTCTTATTTGTTATTTTCTATTTAAGCCTTTCAAAAAAACTAAATTTTATCTGAACCATTTTGGAATGCTTAAAATTTGGATTGACTCTATAATTGAAAAGCTACTCAAAACAGAGCCCTGTGTTCTGTCATTTTGTTTAGGGAAAGGAAAAGAATAGAGTTAATTTAGCAAACAAAGAATCTGTTAAACTCAGATTTATTACCTTGCTGGTAAAGCAGTAATATTGTCAGCAGTATTTATCAGATATTAAACTGGTAACAACAGATGCTATACTTGATCTTAGCCAAAAGGCCGAGAAGCAGTATTATCATGGCTTTTTAACTGCAGGTCAACTGATTCTCAACAGTTTCCAAGTGGAAAGCTCCAAGAAAAACTCTTAACATGAGACAGCTAATTATTTTTGAGACTTGACATGCAGGTGGTAGAAGACTTTGAATGGGGTTCATAGACTGGGATCCATGAGATCCATGAGTGAAACAGGCCATGAAGGGAATATGCATTTGGGGAGAAGAACCCATAGCTTTTATTTTATTTGTGAAAAGACTATAATCCCCCAAAAGGAAAGAGCTATTAATTGACATGCTCGCTGGTTTGCTGCCTCTCCAACTGCATACTAGACCATCTATTATACATTGGCTGACATTATTAAGTTTTACAAGTAATTAATCACTACTTCGGCTTTTCACTCACCCTCCCACCCCCTTTATTTTTTTTTCTTATAGACAGATATTGCTTGGTTCATGGTTATTCAATAACCTTCCTTTGAAAGAAAAACAGATTGGTTCTTTACATAAACCCCCGAGGAAATACTGTACTCTACACTGTCATGGGTGGAAAGCAAACTGGTGACAAACCAGTATGCCAATAGCCCCTCCCGGCATAACTGGGCCTCCACAGACCAGTGTAGGAGTTGCCAGGATACTGTTCAGTTACGCACATGGCTTTATGTCCCACTTTTTTTTTTCTTTTAAAGTCATCATACCCAACAGGTTATTTTTCCTATGTATTATAAGTGAGAAAAACCACTTTACTGTTATGATTTTCTATATTATTGGGAATTAGTGTGATAGAAGCTTGTATCCCTTCAAGGAGACTCCACCTTAATGACAGAAAGTTAAACCATAAAACTGTCATTTCCGGGGGAGGAGCAGAGCCAGGCTTCTTGAGGTGGGTAAAGTAATTGATAGGGGTTAAGGAACTCTGATGGTAGTGCCATGACCACATACAGCTGACTTCCTTGACCAAGAAGTGGAATCTTGTGTGGAGCTGAGAAGGTGGGGGAGGGAAAGGTAGAACTAAATGACAAAAACAAATCACAGTGGACATTGGAATTGGAGTTTTAAAAGTCCCTTAACTTGGACCCATGTATCATCAGGTTAGGCTCTGCTGGCGCCCAACTTGATGCCAGAACAATCTCCTTAGACTCTTCATGACTCAGATTCCTCATCTGGAAAATAATGGAATTTGACCAGATGATTTCTGAGGGCCTTCCATTTTCCAAGTGTGTGTGTGTGTGTGTGTGTGTGTGTGTGTGTGCGCGTGTTTTCAATTTCTGAGCAACACTTGATTCTAAAGAACAAAATTATCCTTTTAATTTATAAGTAGTTAATAACACTCTTTCTGTTATTTAAGGTTGGAAGAGATGCTGCTGTTCATGTGTGGGACACACAGACTCTAAAATGTTTGTCACTATTGAAAGGACAACATCAGAGAGGAGTGTGTGCACTTGATTTCTCAGGTAAGCTCCATTTCCACTGAAGTCATTGATAGATGGTTCTACATTTACGTCAGGTTTGTTTTTTCTTTTTCTAACATCCTCCTATTTCGTTGAGTTCTGTTTGTAATAAGGTAAGCCCTTTGTATGTCAGATACCCAATCTTAGACTGGAAATCAGATATGTTAATACCTCATAAAGAAATGTGGCCTTTAGTTTACACGTCCTTTCCTCATCTTATTTCCTCTCCCCCAAGTCGTCACCCAGAGCTCACACTGTGTTCTGCATTCGCTTGAGTGATTTGAAATCCAGAGCAGCTGTTGCTGTTGAAAGACTTAGTTGCAAATATCTGGCAGTGATTCAGAACATCCATTTCATCTCTCCAAATAAGTGGGAGCACAGCACCTGCGATTTAAAATATAAAAAAACAAGAGGAACGGCTGTAAGTTTTCTGCTAAGGGCCACTTTACAACACTGGTGTTTTGGAAATAAATTTCACATTGAAGAAATAGAACTGAAGGTTCCATCTTCTTAATTTAAAATTGGAACACGATACTATAAAAATACTAACTGATGGATATAATTTTCTTTAGAGTAAGGCTGTTTCCTTACGCTAGAATTGGAGATCAAGGACCTATCACAAAAGGTGATTTTACCTAGAAATTTTTAGTAATCTCAGTTGTAGAAAATAGATAAGAAAAAAAAAATTCTTAACTTTTCTACAGAAAACTGATTCTATGATTTCCTTCTTCTAAATTCCATTAAATGTTTAATATGTGCAATAGTTTTAATATTAGTCATTAAGTTCCATGACTATACAAACCCAATCTATCTTATGTCCCTCACTCTCTTTCTCCTTGTTCAAACTCCTACTCTTTCTCATCTGTGCCATGGTAGTAATGCTGGTCTCTGATTCCATCTATACTTCCTGCAGTAGATCCTACACACTTCGAGAGTTTTTTGGAAGCACAGCTTTATTGCCACCATGTGGACTCCCTTTTGTTGTCTGACTCAGGACTGATCACTTGGTTCAACATTCATGGCCTTCTATGATCTGGTCAACCTTCCTTTGCAGTGTTTTCACCCATTAATCCATTCATGCTCCTTTATATCTACCCAAATGCACTCTTATCTTTTTTTGCCTTTGTTCCTTTGCTCATGCTGTTGCCATTTGTCTGTTCAAGTTCTACTATTCTTTAAGACCAAGCTGAAAGTTTTCTCCATCCTTCCAGGGAGAAATAATGTGTCCCTTCTTCTGCGTCCATTAGCCCATTGTTGTCATGTGGTACCTGTTAGAGTCCATTTGGTACCATAGCTATTTGTGTTGACATCTCCTATGCCCTTCACATATGGTAAACTGCTTGGACAACAGAGCTCATCTTTCTGTTTGCCACTGCACGTGTTGTACTGCTAAAGACACAGAAGCTATTAAAAAAATGCGATTCATGAATGAACAAATAAGGTTTTGCTCAATGCATTTTGTCTTGACATTCACTATTACTATTAGAACTTCACATTTTCACCATGTTTGGGTGAAAATTATCTTTGTTTTCTAACCAATAACATGGTGCAATTTTTTTATGACATGCACACTCTTACATCCTGTAAATTACTGTAAAAATCTGAATTGTTAAATCATTATTACAAATTATTCAATGGTCTCTGTGGTTATTGAATTAGTAAGAATCAAAGCTAAGCATTTAATACTATACACTAGTGGGCATGTGAGGTAGAGAAGGCATGAGTATTGACGGAGAAAGGAGTGCTCGGCATACCACCTGCCAGCTGAAAGCCCAGATAACACACCAAATAAACAGTGAATACAAAGTTCTAAACTTTCACAAGTTTGATGGACATACAATTTTGCGGTAGGTGTGCCATATGTCCTTGATAAAACAGTAAAATCTAAAAAGAAACCATAATTTGAATTCAACTATGGTTCTATTCCAAATATGTGAATGAATTTCTTCTGTATTTTTTTCATAGTTCCACTCCTCAATGGCCAAACTGCCCTTTTCCTAAAATTAAGTTTGGTAGCAGATACATATGTGTATATTTAATATACAAATTATATTAGTATGTATGCTCTAGAATAGTGGTAAGACACCTTGAAACTAACAAAAATAAATAAAAATATAAAACCTAAATGTGTACTGGATTTTAAAGAATCTAACACATTCATGTTTTTGGCAGCATTGAAAATTGACTCAATAATTCTAGAAAACAATTTGGCACCATATAATAAAAGCTATAATTCAAAATGACAAGTATGTGCACTATGTGTATTTCATATGCATCTTTATGTCAAGTTAAGTAAGACAAAATAGAACTCAAAATAGCATCTATTTACTGATTTCATCTAAAAATGTGTATATGTGTACTAGCATATAAAGAGTGGCAGGAAATTTAAAATATAAATTGAATTTAATAATCATTAGATTATTTTTCCATAGAACTGATTAATTTTTTTAATTTAGAAGAATCAAAAAAACTAACTCATGTTACTTAAATACCTATAGAAAAAGGGATTGGAGGACTGTTGATCAAAGACATTAATTATGAGATGAGTTAGTAAACTGGTACCCAGTAACTTGGTCTCTGAATTTCGGAGAGCTCACATCTTTTCTGGGCTTAGTAGTTTTGTAGAAGAAAGATCAAGAAATGAAGTGAACTTGGAAATCTTTTCCTTGTAAGGCAGCCCTTCAGATCATTGTCGGGGTAGAGAAACCATATACTCTAGGAAGAGGCTGAGAAGCTAATTCTGTCACTGCTTTTAATTCTCATCTTGGGCAAATAAAGAAATCCCTAGATGAAATATATTCTTCATTAAAAGTGTATTTTGGTTGTAACAATACATTCCCTATTCCTCAGATAACAATCACCAGGGAAGAGCCCAATTATTTAGGAAATGTGTTATTTTTGATTGTGTAAAATTACATTTTTGTCTCAAAGTTAAAGTACAATGTTAATATATAAATGGCATAAAGGAAACTAGTTGATATTTTTAGAATGCACTGCTATTAAGGACTATTAAGGAAGAACTTCCACTAGTATCTCTTGTGTTTGATCCATCACCTTGGACAGTTGCATGCATGCAGATGAATTGTGGTGGTTGATTGATCCTTGTTGTGTCTATAGCACCTCCTGAAGGTGTGAGCCGAGGCCCCTTTGGTTTAATTTTTATTGCTAGTATTTTATGTTATAACACTATGACTTTAGTCTTAAACAGACCCTGCATCACTTTGCAGGTCACAATTTGAGATAGGGAGTTTGATGGGATGGCCTGGGGAATGTCAAACAGTATCAGATTGAGAGCTAGAACCCAGGTCCCCTGGCTGGGTTGTCAGCTGGTGGGAATTGTGTGGGGACATCTCCCTCCTCATCCCTCCTGCCTTCCCCTGCCCTCCGCCAGGCTAGGTGAACTTCTGACACGAGAGTCGTTCCTGGAGCACTCCATGTGCTCATGTTCTTCCTGCTCCCTCTGCCCAGCAAGTGTCTCTAGCTGCCCCTCCCATTCTCCAGTATAAATGAGGAGTGGGTGTGGTGGTGCAGAGAGGCTGCCACGTGGAATAGCCCCCCCATGAAATGAGACCCCATCCTGGAACAGCCCTGAATCATACACTTACCTGAAAAGGAACAACTATACCTTCCTTTTGGAAACTGATAGAAAAGCTTAAGTCACAAATCCCAAGAGGAGATTATTTAGAGTACCCCGTTAAACCTGTAAACAGGTTTAAACAGCAATAAAAATAAAAGGCCACCAATATTGGTTATCATCTAGCTGGTGGCCCCATCTGTGATCCCCAGTACTGCCATATCTACCTATCTCTTACAAGTCAGCTCATTTTGGGAGGTGTTGTGGAAACCTACTGATAGTACATTTGTCTCTTATTAGAGAAAAAAATTGTCATGGAAATACAAAACAGGCAAATGATGTGAAAAGTAGACCAAAAATAAGCACTTATACATAGAGATTTAGATTAATCTGTTCTTGCCACTGTTCCAAAGCAAACAAAGACAATTTAATCAAAAACATTTCTTAAAACACAATCCACAACTCTATATAAACAAGAGGGAATTCATTTATATTATCTCACTTAATTGAGCAACTCCATAACTTTGTGAATTTATCATCGCTGACTCGGGAAAACGGAGCCATCTTCGGCTCTCTGCTTGCAGTAAGGAAAGTGCTGCCACATGCATAGAAAATCAGGTTAGAAAGAGAAAGTTTCAGCCACATAACTATTTTCTAACCTAAATATCATCCTCCTCATATTTTTTAAGAAACCTTCATTGAATAATACTGATTTTCACAAGGACACCTCTAAGACTAATTTGATCTTATTGTGTTCAATTCTGGGGGAAAAAAAAAAAAACTATGTATTTTTTATGAGCCCTGAATATGAGGACCAACTTGTAATTGCCTGAGTAAAATTTTTTTTCTTTTTGATTTGCCCTTTACTGTTGATATTAAGTGCCTCAGAAGTATTTCCAGACTTTGTCACAAATTATCCATAATTAATGCATACTGTGACTGGAAATATGTGAAAGGACAGTACCTAGACTCTAAAAAAAATGGCTGAAAATAAACTGCGACTATTGGGTCAAGGAACAATGGATTTTCAAAGGTCAGGTCAAGCCTCTGTGAGGGGAAATAACTGGGAAAAAACAGAAAGGTAGCCAATTAATTATATTTCCAAACTATGTGGTATGCAGAAATAGCCTACACCTGCAGAATTCAAGAAAAGTCACCATCCTAAAGAAGATATATGGTTGTTAAGGCACCTCTGAATTTGTACTGTTTCTTCCATTGCTACTCATTGTCATGATACTCATAGGGGTAGAAAGGTGCTATGACTGTGAAGACAAGCTGATGGGGGTGTGGGGGGGCTTGCAGAAATTTTACTAAAAAGGAGCCAAGAAAATCAACTTACCCTGTGCCCTCCTTCAAAAGAGATAAAGCTTTAAAAGCCATCATTGTAAATACATGGGTGCTTGCATTCTAAGAAGGACCTATTAATATAACTATGAAGATTTTAAAAACAAAACAAAACATACACTTAATGCAAAAACGACACAATATTTGTGCAGTGTTTTTAAAAGGAATGGTAGTCAAAACAATTAAATGTTTATAGCTGTGTAACAGTGCATTCCCTTTGCCTTCATACCATCCATATGCACATTTCATCTTTATCTTCCTCGTCCTCCTCAATGTCACCAGTATCATCAGCATTCTTTGAAAACCAGCTCAGTGTGAGGATCACAAAGGAAAGGGGATACGATTACTGTAAGCCTTAAAAGAGCTTATAATCTAAAGAGGGAGACAGAAATCTCCAATGAAACTAAAATACCAATTACAGAGGCTAATATAGAAACATAACCGGGTATACTAAGAGATATGGAAAAAGTAATGTTGTTGGTTATGAACAGGAAGTCACTCCCAGTCCCTTTTCCCAAACGCATAAAAAAGAGACCTTGCCGGATTTAAAACTTAGTAACATTTAAGCATAAGGACATACCATTAGTTGTGATTCAGAAGACACATTTGTTTAAAATAATCACCCAGTGGTGACTTAGCCCTTTTGGGAAGTGTTAATGTCTTCATCTAATACTAATATATCCCCACAGATTGAAAAGGTTAATGTAACTTTCAAATTCTTGCCTCCTACTTGGTAGTAGTTGAGGATTAGGGAAGATTTGATTTGTTAAACCAGGCTCTTCCTTTCTCTTTCCTTCTTCCTCCAGAAAAGGAGCAGACCATGTTCCCAGGTGGTTGGAGGTGTAGATCTTTGGCACAAGTAAGGGCACTCACAGGTTGGGCACTGGTTAGCATTTGGGGGAGGGTTGCCCAAGTTAGCTCATGAAAATACGGGAGGCCCAATTAAATTTGAAATTCATATAAACAAATAATTATTTTAGTATAAGAATGTCCCATACAATATAAATATGCAATGTAGATATCAGTATTGCATGGGACATACTTACACTAAAAAATTATTGCTTATCTGAAATTCCAACTTAACGAGGCTTCCTTTATTTTATCTGGCAATCCTCATTTGGCATCAACGTCAGGCCTACCTTTGAAAGTAACAGGTTGAAACCCTGAATGCACTGGGGAGAAGCAGTTTATCACAATCTTGTGTTTCTTGACCCTAAAGCTGTTGGTCCTCTGTAGTCAGAGAAGGCACCCTGCTGAGCTTGTGCTGCACAGTGAGCTCAGTCACCCATCTCCGAGCCAGCACACAGCTCAGGTGGAATTGCTGACCCGGAGATGCTTCGCCTGTGAATCTAGCTTTGTGAGGAGGCAGCAAAGGAAAGACTTACTGACCATTCTTCTTCTGCCTTGAAGGGAAAAAGCAAATTAGCTATTTTTATTTCAAATTTAATTATACATTTATTTTTAATTTTTTTTTTTGGAAAACAACTGAAATCAAATTATAGTAATCACTGATAATATTATAAATAATATCTGATACTAAGGGAAAATGTTCATCATATAACAAATAAAAAAAGATTAGGTAATAGTATGTTCAGTATGATCCTGGTTTTGTTTTTTAAAAGCACATTTATGTAGAGAAAAAAAATTGACATGCGTCAAATGTAGGCCTAGAAATTTGATGATCTAAAATTTTCCTTTATTCATATATTCTAAATGTCCTATAACAAGCATACTACCTTTGAAATAGAGACACTAAGAAATTAAGATTTTTTTAAAATTATAGAATTACCTTTTGAAAGAATTTTTGACATTAAATTTAGTTTCTGTAGTGCTGTTATCTTGGAGGGTTATACAGAACTCAGGTTTCTAGAGCTGAAAATAGGCTGAATCGCAAAGCCCAAGTGGCTCTTCCAGTAACTGTCATGAGATTTGTCTGTCACAAAATAGACAAGGTTTTTGTGACTTACCTGAGAGATTCCCCCTCAGCCTTGTGTCTCAGATTGGAAGGTTGGGTCAGCAATTTCATTCGGCAACCAGTTATTACGCCTTAAGCTCAAGTGTTACTAGTTATGCATTTAATTCAGTGAGGTCCCTTTAGTATGTGACACTTCTAATGTATTTGAGCCTAATATATTAAGGTCAATTTCTTGTTCCTGTTTATAGTATATAAAACGTTTTGTTTTTTTCATTGAAGAAATGAGTCATTTGATATTTGTGTTGTTTTTATACAGCCGATGGAAAATGTCTGGTGTCGGTTGGTTTAGACGATTTTCACAGTATTGTATTTTGGGACTGGAAAAAGGGAGAAAAGATAGCCACAACAAGGTAAGAAGCTGCCGAGGTCTGATGGCATTCTGCTGATTGTTACCCTTCGGTATAAGTTAATCGTTTTCTTTTTCTGGTAAGATTTCATCTTCAAAATAGATGAAATTCACATAGGAAGCTTAACACCCAAGTGAAAACACATTGCAATAAATCATGGTGCCCACCTGACCTAGTGCAGTTAATGTTTGTTTCAGGGAATTAGAAAATTCTGAAATCTTTTCCTGAGAGTTATTCATCACTTTGCTTTTAGTTATATAGGCATTATCTATATCAAAGCTTTGTACGAGCAGTAGAAAAGCAGCTTTTCGCAGGCTTGTGCCTTGCCCCTTGTTTTTCCACTGTCTTAGCATCTGGTGAAAGATTGTCAATGTCACTGGAGTCAGACGTACCATTTGTCATGAGACTGTGGCATGCTGGAAAGGAGGCCCCATCGTGTGCATCTGCCAGTCGCTTTCAAAGCAGGCAAATTGTTTCTCTAATCTCCCCATCTTATAAATAGATTCTTTAAGACCAACTGCTGTTTATAGACCACCTGTCCTCTCTCACCCCAGCCTCCCGCCCTGCTGAATCAGCTCGAAGTCTGCACATTACTTTCTACTACTACTAGCAATGGGCTTAGCTGTTGGTCAGCCATGGTCAGAGGTCAAAATAGTTGGTAGCCAAAGCCCAGCAATACAATTTGTTGTCTGAAGTGTGTTATTAGTTTACCTCTAATTCTTCCCTTAGTTCTTCCCTGCATTAACCAACTTATATTCTATTTTGCAATATAAAATCATTTTAAGTGAATGGCTTTGAACCCCAGTATTCCGTTTTTAAATTAATATTTCCCTCCACAATATTAAGTGGGGAAAAAAGGTTGGGGTTTTTTGGGTTTTTTTTGACAATTTGATTTAATGAATGAAGATCTATAAATTGCTGGAGACTCAGAGGAAGAGCAGATGGAGCCTTGATGACTCCAGCTGACCGTTTTAGGAGAAAAAGAGAAGCTTTTCTAGTGACTGCTATTAAGGTGGGATTCTTGGCAGCAAACGGCAGCTCATAAATCTGCCTGCACAAATGGTTTTTCTCTTGGTCTCTCTTTCTACTATTTTTCACTCTTGTATCACTCCCCTCTAGTACTCAGATTGAACTCCTAGTCAAAACTGCTTTCCTCCTAAAAAAATAAGCTGAATTTTAGTTGAATATTTTTCTGATAGCATCCCATCGGCATTAATAGGTAATTTCATGCAAAGCACATGTCTGCATTTCATAAGCCACAAAAATGCAATTTTCCTGCTAGAAAACCATCTGTAACTGTAGGTGGCTCACCAGTTGCATGCCAGAAACATTAACAGAAATGGAAGAAGGCAATATTTATTAATATTGAAGAGTATATACTGGAGATGCATGGTAATGTTATGTCTATTTAATTTAATTAACACAAATCCACTTACTAGCATGATGCTAATAACACAATTTATTTTTTGAATTTCTCCCAAGTCTTATGTCACAATCCCAAAACAGGACACTGGCAGAATTGCCCTCAGAGAACATTTTTGCAGTTGTAATATAATATTAGCCAGTGCTCTTTCCAAGAAGGAATGTGTCAAGGATTGTTAAAGTTCTTTGGAAGAATATTAGAAGGTTTTAAAATAATAAATAAGGAATGAATGTTTACATAGTATTTATATAATATTAATAATAAATTTCATAATAGTAACCAGAAAAACAAATAAAAATTCTATTTATGGCCTTAAGTTAGAATGCTTAAGTAGATAAAAACTTTAAAAACAGAGATATAAGAAGTGACAAAGAAAAAGAAGTAATACTTAACCGATGGTACTTAACTGGCTTCCAGGAATCATCACTGTAGCTCCCAAGAGGACCTAATTTACTTTCAAAGGGGCTGACTCAGTGATACCTTTCCTTTGTACCTCTTGTGTCTCAGTCATTGCTGATATTGTCACCAACAAGGCTTAACAATCAACCTGCTTCTAACAGGCTGCATTGTTCTGGAAGGGTAATTTTTCTACAACAGGCCCATTATCCAGGATGTGAGATTTCCCTGAGTGAACATGCCCGAGGCTAATGTGTGCCCTCTGCACAGCACTGCACTCTCCAAAGTTGCCCCTCAGTGGTCAAAATGTTTAAATGAACCTACTTTTTTTCATCTCGGAGAAACGAGAGACATTCAGAATGGGCACATAGAGATCGTATTAAAATCTCTATGAGCCTTGATCTACTCTATTTGAACAATTTCTTTGCATCTTTGCTAATTTTCATGAATGATTTCAGTCACCTCCATTACAAATGAAATTTTTAGGCTTTATTTCAGATTATAGTTGTTCATATTATAGTCTAATATATAAGTAACACATTTAAAAACCAAGGCCAAACTCTTATGAGTAGTAGTTAAATGGCCTAATATCAGTGTCAATCAAGGTAGAATAATGAGATAGTTATGCACTTCTATGTGCCTTTATTTGTATTTTCATTGCACTGGGAACATGGCTCGGGGGGGGATGATGGCTAATTATTATTGATATGCTTCATCTCAGAAGTTTGAACAGTAGGGATACTAGGTAAAAGGTACAGTAATCAAGGTGCCTAACAAGAATACTTCCAATGTTAATGTGAAATAGTTGTGCTACTAGAAAGCTTAGGGACAAATGCAGGCCCATGGAGGGCAGGTTCATGGAGCTTGAGAGCTCTGTATTTCTGTATTAGTTTTATTGTTTGAGCTATTTTAGGTCCCTACCCTTTCATACATTTAGTGAATATGATAAAAGTTTTTTTCCACACCAAATTGGCACCTTCTCACTTTTTTTAAAATGTGTGTCTCTTTTTAAAAATAGCACTTATAAATCTTCCCTGACTTCTAAAAATAATACATGATCATTATAGAAAAGTTAAAAAGCATAGAACAACACCAAGAAGAAAATGACAGTCGTCCTTAATTCCACTATCCAAATATAGCTATGGCTAACATTTTAGCATATGTTATTTAGCATATGAGTTTCCTCTTTCTATCCATTTTTATTCATATATTGGCTATTATACATACTGCTCTGTAACTAGCTTCCCCCCCCCATTAAATGTATTATCTCACTGTCTTCTAATTTAAGTTACTTGGCTTATTTTATATTATTATTCTAAAATAGTAAACCTATTTAAATATGTTTTGGAGATGGGGTATATATTAAACGTTCATTTAGTCTTCCTGTTAAGGGAAAGAGAAAATCAAATCACACACAGGACTGGGCCTCTATGCAAACGAAAGGGTTCAGATTCGCACATCAGAAACCAGCTCTCTGGGTGTGCAGCTAGCTGCCCTTTGCTTCTAGAAGAGGCGCATTCCTTCCTTGGTCCTCTGTGCTTGCTGATAGGGTTTAAAATGTGGCCCTCTGTGGTGAATTACTTATGACTCAGGCTGTCCTGTAGTAGGGCAGTAGTACAGAGTTTTCTGCAGTCTTACTCTCTCAGCTTAGGACCTGAAACTTTTTCCATGTTGTTTTTCTTACACAGTTGTAGGCAACTTCCCTACAAATTTAATAAATGTCTAAAGGAACGATAACGGACTAATCCAATGAATGTTGTTTCGACGTGAGTATTAATTAAACATTTACAAGCCATTGTTGGTCAGTTTAGGACTTGAGCCACAATGGAAACAACACTGGTGTTTGTATGACACCAAGAAATTAGATGGAAACTAAAAAGTGCTCTTAGAAAAGATTTTTCTTTTGGGTTGTCAGAAAAGTCATGATGCATTTTTGCAACGAAAAACATAGAAAAAAATACGTCATGACTTTTATGACAACGCAATATTTAAATATTTGACATTGTACAGACACAAGTCAACAAAACAATGCTCTTTTCTAGTTTGGGAATGTAATTTGTTATATCTGTCCTCAATTTTCATTTTGTTTTCTCTAGCGTCTTCTCTCTAAAATGTATATTAATGATTTAGAATCTGTAAGGATTTCCCCCCTAGAAATTCTTGGCTGCTTCATGTCCTTTATGGTTATCTGGTTCACCTCTCCTCTTTGTGTTAAGCACATTTTCTCTTTTATTGAAGCCATTTCCTCTCTGTCCTAATTGTTCCTGAATCATCCAGTGATGTATCTTGGCCCTAGTGTTCATGCTTTACTTTTGACTTTCAAAGAAACAGAGAGTTCAAAAATCAATCCCTTCAGCTTTCCTGCCTCTCACTATAGTAGGGCACACATAATGGGTATGGAGATCTCTGTCTATTCTTTACTTTTAGCTTTTTATTATGGAAAATTTCAAAGTTACACAAAAGTGGAGGAAATAGCATAATAGGCTCCCTGTAGCCATCACCCAGCTGCAACATCCTACAAATGGTACAAATCTCTCCTTCCTTATTTTTTCCTTTTCTCTTTTGCTACACTATTTTAAAGAAAATTCAAGACATCCTGTCATTTGACCTGTATATATTTCACTAAGCATTTTTAACAGAAAAGACTTTTTTTTTTTCTGCTGAGTCATCCTGCCACCTGTTGGCAACTCAGTGGCAGCTCAGCTCAGGCTGGGAATTGAACCGCTAATTGCTCAGAGCTCGCACTCTTGAGCGAGCTCTTAACCAACTGAGCCACTCAGCTGGCCCCCCAGAAAAGAAATTTTTAAAAACCACCATTCCATAGAAACAACTAACTAAAGCAACAGTAATATCTTCCTTTCATCTGTTACCCAAATCATAATCAACCATTTCTGATTGTTTCTAAGATGAGAGTTAGTTCGTTTAATTCTACACCCAAACAAGGCCTGCGCATTGCATTTGGTTGTTACTTCCCTTAAGCCTTTTTTATTTTATAACAGCCCCCCTCCCACCTTTTTCATACCATGGATGCATTTGAGGAACCAGGTCATGACCTATAGAATGTTTCACATTCTAAACTTGACTGATTCTTCATGGAAGCATTTGAGGCATTCCCCTGCAAATTTCCTGTAAATGGTAGTTAGATCCATAGGTTTGATTAGATTCATGTTCAGTTTGTTTGTTTTTTAACAGTTTTATTGATAAGTCACATACAATACAATTCACCCATTTAAAGTGTACAGTTCAATGGTTTTTAGCATATTTTACAGAGTTTTGCGATTATTACCACTGTCTAGTTTCAGCACACTTTCATGACCCCAGAAAGAAAGCCTATACACATTAGCACTAATCTATTTTCTGTCTCTCTGGATTTTTATATTCTAGATATTGTATATAAATGGAATCATACAATATGAGGTCCTTTGTTACTGGCTTCTTTTATACAGCAAAATGTTTTAGCATGTAGCATAGTGTGTCATAGCCTATATCAGTACTTCATTCCTTTTGTTGCTGAAAAATATTTCATTGTATGGGATGTATGGCATTTTATCCATTCATCAGCTGATAGATATTTGGGTTCCCACCTTTTGGCTATTATAAATGATGCTGCTATTTGTGTACACGTTTTTGAGTAGACATATATTTAATTTATCTTGGGTATATACCTAGGAGTGGAATTGCTGGGGTAGTTGGTAACTTTACGTTTAACATTTTGAGGCACTGCCAAAATATTTTTCAAAGTGGCTTTCCCATTTTACATTTCCACCAGCAATGAATGAAGTTTCCAATTTCTCCACATACTTGCCAACACTTATTCTTTTCTGTCATTTTCATTATAGCTGCTCTAGTGGGTGTGAAGTGGTATCTCATTATGGTTTGATTTTCATGTTTTGATGGCTATTAATGTTGAGTATCTTTTCATGTGCTTACCGGCCATTTGTATATCTTCTTTGTAGATATGTCTATTCAGATACTTTGCCCATTTTTAGTAGGGTGGGGTTTTTTGTTTGTTTGTTTGTTTTTATACCAATGCTTTTAGATGTTTAAGTAAATATAATATGTATACGCTTATCGATATCATGCATAGATATAAGCATAAAAAATACTGTGACCATCTCAGAATACATGAATAAAAGTCTATTTCAAATATATGACCTAGCTTATTTTAGAAATTTTTAATTAACCACATAAAATTGAATCTTAAAAATCATTTTCCATTTTTATATGGCCCTATTGACATTTCATTGTCCAACCTGGATTCTAAAAATTGTAAAATTATTTTACAGAATTTTTTTTTTAATTATTGAGTTGTAAGAGTTTTTTTAAAAATATATATTCTGGATACACGTCCCTTATCAGATATGATTTGCAAATATTTTCTCCTACATTCAGTTTTTTAGATAAGAGTATTTGATACATACTTCATTTTTCGTCACATTGGAAGAAACATAACCAGTGGCACACTAGAGAGTGGGGGCAGTGGGAGTGATACTTCCCACGTGCAAGCAATGGAGCTGTAGTATCTGTAGAAAAATTTTTAAAGAATAATAAAATCAACTAAAAACCAGTCTTCTTTTTTTTTATTCCCATGAGCCAGCAATTCTAAACAATGCCAGAGATGGAATTGCTCTCCTCCAGGACAGATCGCTTCCCTAGCATACCCCTGTGTGGACACCGCTGTGTGAAATGTCTGGTTGACTTACTCTTCTACTCAGCCCAGTTGTGGGTTCTAGTAGTATCAGCTTGATCCTTCCATTATAAAGCTCACCATCAATGTATTATTTAATGGTTGTAGCATACATTTACAACCATGGACTGAATTGATTATTTAATCAGGGGTTAAAATAGTGTTCAAATTTTATTCATTCTTTTTGTTTTTTTTGTTTTTTGTTTTTTTTAGCTGAGCCAACCTGCTACCTGTTGGCAGCTCAGTGGCTGCTCAGCTCGGGCTGGACTCGAACCACTGTTGCTCAGAGCTCAAACTCTTGAGCAAGCTCTTAACCAACTGAGCCACTCGGCCGGCCAATCATTCATTCTTCATATTAGCTAGAATTCTTCTGTAAATAAGAATTTACCCTCATGAACTATTTGGTTTCTCTAATGTAAAATTCACACAGAAAGCAGTCCTTTAAATATTAGGGCTATTTGTCCTTTGTCTATAACTTGCAGATAGTTTTCCCAGTTTTTCATTTGTCTTTTTATTTTGTTACGATGTTTTTCATCATGCAAAAGGTTTTTATTTTTTTATGTGGTAAAATTTTTCAATCTTCTTTTAATGCTTCAAGATTTTGAGTCATAGTTAGGAAAGAATTCCCCATTCTCAGGTTAAAAGGAAATCACTCATAATTTCTTCTAATCTGCTATGGCTTCATCTTTACATCAGATCTTTAACCATTTGGAATTTATCCTAGTATCTATTATGAAGAACAGGTACAGCTTTATCCTTTTTCCATTTACAAGGTGTAAACATCCATGTGCAGATTTTTGTGTGGACATAACTTTTCAACTCCTTTGCATAAATACCAAGGAACATGGCTGCTGGGTCTTATGGTAAGAGCATGTTTAGTTTTGTAAGAAACCACCAAACTGTCTTCCAAAGTGGCTGTACCATTTTGCATTCCCATGAACAATGTAAGAGAGTTCCTGTTGCTCCACATCCTCACCAGCATTTGGTGACAAATACCATTTATTTTAAAAGTTCATTTTTTCCCCCACCCATTTGAGACCCTGTCTTTATAATATACTACATTTTAATATTGATTTAGGTCTCCTTCCTGATTTTCTACTTTTCCATTATATGTCAGTCAATTGATGCACCAGTACCGCACTGTTTTAATTATGAAGAGTTTATAAATTGGTTTAATATCTAAGAGAGCTACCCTTTCCACTTTGCTCTTCTTCAGAGTTCACCTGATCATTCCTGCTGGTTTATTCTTCCATAAGAATTTTGAAATCAAGATTTCTAACTCCAGATTATTTACAAATACCCAGTGCTCTTTTTATTGGAATAAAGTTGTATTTATAAACAAAGTTAGGGAGTATTGACATCTCTATGATTGAGTTTTCCAACCCAAAAACATAGGATGTGTTTCCTTATTAAAAGTTTACTTTTCTCTCATACAGATGTGTGTGTTTGTGTGTGTGTGTGTGGGGGGGGTTGTTTTACTCATTTTTTATATTGCACATTTATTAACAAACTTATGCCTTGATACCTTTGTTGTTTATAGAGTCTTCTCTTCCATTATATTTTTTAGCTGGTTATTGTATATATTAAGGTTATTGATTCTGCATTTTTTTTATATACTGCAAGTTTACTAAATATTTTGTAGATGTTTTACATTATTTTCTTCTGAATTTTCAAAACATATAATTATATCCTCTACTAATAGAAATAGTTTTACTTCTTCCATTCCAGCTTTTGTGCCTTTAATTTTTAAAATCTTGTCTAATTGCATTAGTTAATATGCTAAGTGGTAGTGACAATAGTCTCGTTTCTGACTTTATTGGGAATGCCATTAAGTAAGAATCTGACTTTTGGGTTCACACACACACACACACACACACACACACACACACACAACCATGAATAAGCTACGATTCTAGCACTTTTTGTTTTTAAAGATAGGGTAATGGCACACAACATTGCTGGAGAGCCAGCCTGTATATAGTTGGTCTTGAATGAGTCAAGGTTTCTCAGTGAGAATCAAGGAAGTGGGGAAATAGAAATGTTTAAGAGATAAGTTTGATGCATCCATTAATTCCTACTTCATTGAGTGTTGGACGTTTTTAAATCACAAATGAGTGTTAGATTTTTGTCAAATAGCTTTTCAGCATCTGTGAATATAACATAATTTTCCTCCTTATATATTGACATGATGAATTGTACTATTTGATTTCTTAGTAATGAACCACCCTTGCATTTGGTCATAATGTATTATTTTTAATGTGCTATTGGATTCTCTTTGCTAATATTTAAGATTTTAAAAATCTATATTCATAAGGGAGATTGTCAGTCATATTCTTTTTGTTAATTGCTTTTCTTTTCCATAATGAAATATATGTCCTAATATCACAGAGAAGACCATCAAATAGTCCATTAAGACCAGGAAACCCTTAGATTCTAATGTGATGACTTTATACTCTAAAGCAGAGATTTCTCTGGCCCTGCGGAATGTCAGTCCTCACTTTTACATTTGTCCTTCTGCCTCTTGGGCTATAAACCTACATTTCTGAATGCGTAGCATCCGAAAGTGCCTTGAATCAATAGATAACATCCTTTCTCTCTTCATGGATGTGAGCCAGGGGCTTCAATTTCTAGTGTATATTTCTAGCTGAAACTCTGTTTAACCCAAAGTTATGAGTTCCACAGTAAGAATATTACATTTGAAGCTTATCATTAATGCTATTGCAATGTCTTCCTCCTCCTGTTTGAGACCTCTATATTCTGAGAATTACTCTCAATCCTATGGTGGTGGCATTAACGTTATCTTATGGAGACATTATAATTCATTTTACATATTTCATTAATTTGTTAAAAAGCATAATTAAGTATACTTTTGTAGCAATATTAGAATAAGAAGAAAGGGCTCAAACGTGCAAAGAAAAGCCAGAGCTCATTATTTTAATGTAGGCCCTATGTGTATTTTAAGTGATCTAATTTAGTTGTCTAACTTTAATGAAAGTTAGACCAAATGCATGCTTTTAATAGAACTATATCATTGCTTCCATCAAAACTGGAATTTTTTTTTTTGTCTCTTACAGAGGACATAAAGATAAGATATTTGTGATAAAGTGTAACCCACACCATGTTGACAAACTGGTTACAGTTGGGATAAAGCACATCAAATTCTGGCAACAAGCAGGTACTGTTATTTGGGTTTATCATTTATGTGGTTGAGAGTTTTACTCCAGCTGAAGAAAACCATAACCGCTACTTAGCCTGTCTCTGTAGTCCAAAATTAAAATGCATCTAAGAGATAATCTCTCCCAAATTCAATTTGAACTGCTTAATATCTAAGCTGTAAAAATCAGAGCACGCTATATGATGCTATGCATATTTATCAATACCTAGAAAACTTTGGAAAATATTCTGCTGTGAAAATAATTATACTTAGTTATCTGTTATGAAATCAGTAATTATGTTGGACTACTGAGCAGGAAGTAAAATCATCACTTTGGTTGGGTGAATAGAATTTTCAGTATTGTGAGGCTTCCTATATTTATCACTGAATTTAGAAAATGAATTAAATCCTGATACTACACACAGTAGGTTGTCAAAATAAATATTTGTGAATTACAATGTTGATAATAATGAGTAAATAAGCATGCCAAAACGTGGAACAATATCTTACTCTTCTCATTAATAAGCCATACCTATTATTACAATTGTTTCTGAACTCTTAGTCTTAGCTTTAGTGCCAAGCCCAATTTTGTACTGGACAAAACATAAATAAGCTACTGTTCCAATGCTTTCTGCTTTTAGAGAAAGATAACATGTGTGGAGAGCCAGCCTGGCAAGAGTTGTCTGGAATGAGTCTGGTTTTCTCAGTGCTAATCAGGAAGTGCAGGGAAATGTGAACATCTAAGGGACGAATCGGATGTACCTTCCACACAGTGATTCATTTTTCCCACCCCAAAGTTGCTGTGATAAAAACCGAGGCAAAACATATGTAACATGTTTACATTTCACATTCACAGCTGGTGCTGTTTCTATTCTTTTTGCTCAGCACTCGGAAGACTTTCCTAGCTCCTCCAGGCTCTTAGTCACTCCCTCCTCTGGCTGGCACAGAACTTGCTCTGAACCTTGGTTAGACGCATCTTGTTGGACTGAGACGCTTATCGAAGTCTCTCTCCAACCAGACCATAAGTACCTTGAAAGCAGGAACTCTCTTTTCATCTTTATACCCCAGCATTGACCACTGTGCTTGTCACCAAGTAAGGATTCAGTACACACTGAATTGATGCATGAGGGAATGAGAAACACTCTTATAATTTTTTTTTTTTTTTTAGCTGAGCCATCCTGCCACCTGTTGGCAGCTCAGCTTGGGTCGGGAACTGAACCGCTGTTGCTCACAGCTCAAACTCTTGAGCGAGCTCTTAACCAACTGAGCCACTCGGCCGGCCCCAAATATATTTTTGTTTTTGATATTTTCTGCTGTTTTTCACACATCTTTGTGTATGTGCATAGCGGCAACACACTAGGTTTTCCACTGAAGATAGCCATTCTATGTGCTCATAAAAGGTGGAACTTTAAAAAAAAAAGTAATAATACTCTTGGTCAACTCCAGGTGGGGGCTTCATCTCTAAAAGAGGAATTTTTGGAAGTGTCAGAAAATTGGAAACAATGATGTGTGTTTCTTACGGGCGAATGGAAGATCTAGTGTTCTCAGGAGCAGCGACTGGAGATATTTTTATTTGGAAAGATATTCTACTACTGAAGACAGTGAAGGCTCATGATGGGCCTGTGTTTGCTATGTATGCACTGGACAAGGTATGGTACATGTTTTCAGAACTCATTTTCCTCATCAGCTTTCTAAAATGATAACTTAGTCTTAGGAAGAGCCACACCAAGAGAATGCATCTAAAAATAGCACTACCTGAATTAGGAAGTCTTTATAATGAAACTCCAGTCCAGAGAAGACAGGGAGGAGAGTACAAATATTTAAAATTTTCTCTTTCATGTATAATTATTTCCTTATATTCAGTTTCTCCCCTTTTTTCATACTTGTTCTTCCTGGCTCTCACTCCTGCAAGATCCTTACGAACTATCATTGAGATAAACGTAGACACACAGTAGCAGAAGAGTCCTGAGAAGTATTTCAGCATTGTCTTCCTCTTCGATGGCACAACGAGCAGAGACCTGGAAGTACCAAGTGGTTAGATTACTGTCCCACCCATCAGTTTGACCCAAAGTTATGTTGATAACCAGTTTGTTCAGTTTTAACAAGAGTGTTAGAGTGAAGTCTTTTCACCAGCCATTTTAGGGTTCTCCAAAGAAGCAGAACCAGTAGGATATACATATACAGTCATGCACCACTTAACGAGGGGGATGCAGACTGAGAAATGAGTCATTAGGTGACTTTGTCATTCAAAGTTGTGCGAACATCATAGAATGTACTTACACAAACCTACATGGTATAGCCTACTATTGTAATTGTATGTACTATACCTTTATACAACTGGCAGCACAGTAGGTTTGTTTACACCAGCATCACCACAAACACATGAGTAATGAGTTGTGCTATTGTGCTATGACGTAACTAGCTGATAGGAATTTTCAGCTTTATTATAATCTTACAGGACCACCATTGTATATGTGGCTCATCATTGAACAAAATGTCATTATGAGGCATAGGACTTTATATAAAAAGATTTATTATGAGGAATTGGCTAATGCAATTATGGAGGCTGAGAAGTCCCACTATGCCATCTGCAAGCTGGGGAGCCAAGAATGCCGGTGGTGTAATTCAGTCGGAGTCCACAAAGGCTTGAGAACCAGAGGATCTGATGGTGTAAATCTTAGTCTGAGAGCTGGAAAAGATGAGATGAGTTGGAAAAGATGAGATATCCCAGCTCAGTGAGTCAGGGGAAAAAGGGATGAATTCTTTCCTCCTCTGACTTAGTTCTACTCAGGCTCCCACATTGGGGAGGCCAATCTACTTTACTGAGTCTACCAATTAAAATGCTAATCTTATCTGGAAACACCCTTACAGACACAGAAATAATATTTATTTGTTTGTTTGTTTTTTTAGCTGAGCCATCCTACCACCTGTTGGCAGCTCAGCGGCAGCTCAGCTTGGGCCAGGAATTGAATCAGCAACCCTGTTGCTCAGAGCTTGCATTCTTGAGCGAGCTCTTAACCAACTGAGCCACTCGGCCGGCCTCCAGAAATAATATTTAATCTGAGCACCCCACAGCCGGTCCAATTGACACATAAAATTAACCATCACACTCGCCCTATTTCTACTCAAACTCATCTTTGTCCTGGTCTGTCCAGCTACCTACCTGCTTTATACAGATCACACTTCAGTGCTGTTAAAACACTTTCTTCAATTTGTCAGAAAATACCTATTTTTCATTCACTGCTATCTTCCTGGAGGTACCAATTCGCCTGTGCTCTTTGACCTCCAAACAGTTTAAGCCACTCAACACATCTAAGCCTAGCCTCATTTGCATGTGTCTGTTCCCAGGTAATTGTGCTGATTCCCACTGCAGAGGCAGATTCTTGTTATATGTGCAACTGTATTGTTGTTTTAGTCATTAAGCTGGTGTTTTTTTGTTTTACTGGCAAACTTGTTTTTTGGTTAAACTGCAAATGTTAGAAAAGATTAAAGCAAAATGCAAAATTTTTGTAGATTCAGAGGTTGATGTGTCATAACTTGATTAAGTTTTTTATTGCTTGGTAAATTAAGCTGACAAATCATAGGAAAAGATACGGATATCACAATATAATATACTGCATTTAAATTTAATTTGGAGATTGAATCTCCCTGGGTGCAAAATCTATAGTAAGAGTAAGAATATTTAATGTAATGAGCTTCAAAATATTAGTTGCTTGTATACATCATTAGAATGCAGTAAAAGTTTCTGAGAAAACAAAGAATTAGTACTTTTCTTTAAAAAAAAAAAAGACTTTTCTAAGAACAGTTGGTATATATAAGTTGCCAGAAATGAAAACTAGTAAGGCCAAGAAATCATAAGCTTAGAACAAGAATAAAGATTACTGTTCAGTAAAAAATATCCAATATGTTAAGCTTTTTACTTTCCATGTTTTATAAAAAATAATCTGGATTTTAATTATTGTGGAAATTGATGTCTATTGAACAAATCAGCAGGATGGTTTTGTTGTATGAAGTGCCTAATGTACTCTTAATAATAAATAATGATGTTTTCTTCTGGAAGTAATTATTTAATTTTTAAATATTTAACAATCACTTGCATTGTGGTGTTCTGATTCACTCAGCAGGAGTATATGAGATACCAGAAACTTCCAAGCTTTGAGTCTGGTCCTGTTCCACAGGAACCCACTCTCTAGTCAGGGGCCTGGGTACAGAAACAGCTGTCCATGATCCGGAATAGCAGTGGCCTGAGGAAAATGCAATGGACATGGACACACAATGGAAATGTGTTTAATTCTGCTAGAGAAGAATGGGAGAGGTGCTTCCAGAAAATATTATATTACTATTATATGTTGTCAGATTTTTTCAGTCTCCTATTCTTAGGAAGAAAACATATACACAACTGCACCCCAGGGGGAATCCTGTTGGGGCTGGGTGGTAACTGGTTACTTTAATGTGTATATAATTCTTCCCATGTTTGCCTTCACAGGGTTTTGTAACAGGTGGAAAGGATGGAATCGTGGAGCTCTGGGATGATATGTTTGAAAGATGCTTGAAGACTTACGCCATTAAAAGAGCAGCATTGTCAACTAGCTCTAAAGGTGCCACTCCCAAATATGCAATAGAAATCTTTCTGTTCATGGGGGTGGAGACAATAATATTAATGTCCTTGGAAAAACATTACCGAATCGATTCTCTTTTTCCACATTCAGAGCTCTAGGCCGATGGTAGACATGTCAAGGATGATCACCTAATGGCTAGTACTTTGGAACTATAAAAACAGAATTTATATAATAGTCAATCTTTTTATTTTTTGTTCTATTAAATACATTCTTCCCCCCACCCCTTCCCCAGGCTTGCTTTTGGAAGACAACCCTTCAATTCGTGCCATTACTTTGGGACATGGACATATCCTGGTGGGAACAAAAAATGGAGAAGTCCTGGAAATTGATAAAAGTGGCCCAATGACGCTGCTTGTTCAGGTACTGTGTTTGTACATATTCTGAACCATAATTAACATCAGAGCCAGGACTAGGGTGAGGCAGAGGGGGTGTGGCACTTAATGTGCAAAATTTAAGGAGGCATTCACTGTCAGAGTCATGAGAGTATTAATTACCTATCGCTGTGTAGCAAATTGCCACAAACTTCATAGCTTAGAACAGGACACATTTATTATCTTGTAATTTCTATGGCTCGGGAGTTTGAGCATGGCTTCATTGGGTCGTCGACTTAAGGTTCCACAGCCAGCAATGAGAGCCAGCGCTGCAGTCTCCTCTGAGGCTCAGCTGAGGAAGGATCTGCTTCCAACGTCACTCGGGTTAGCAGAATTCAGTTCCTTGCTGGCTGTTGGCCAGAGGCCACCTTCAGCTCCTGGAGGCTGCCCACAGTTCCTTGCTACATGGGGTTCTCCAACATGGCCCCTTACTGCCTCAAAGTCAGCAAGGGAGAGAGAAAAAATAGTCACTGCAGTCTTATGTAACATAATCGTATCATCACATACATGTAATCATAACATCCATCACCTTTGTCATATTCTATTGATTGAAAACAAGCCACAGGCCACGCCACATTCAAAGGGAGGTGATTACATAAGAGCGTGAAAACGAGGAGGATCATGATGGTCATCTCAAGAATCTGCCCATATGGGCCGGCCGAGTGGCTCAGTTGGTTAAGAGCTCACTCAAGAGTTTGCGCTCTGAGCAACAGGTTTGAGTCTGGCCTGAGCTGAGCTGCCGCTGAGCTGCCAACAGGTGGCAGGATGGCTCAGCTAAAAAAAAAAAAAAAAGAATCTGCCCATAACAGTTCACTCTCTGGCCACCAGTTCTTCATGTCCCTACTCATTCAAAATTCATCCTCCCCCGCTCCTCTGCCTGCCGCTCCCCCCCCCCAGCCCAAGGTCTCCAATCCAAGAGTCTTATCCCATTATAGTACCTGCTCAAAGTCCATAATCTAATCATCTAAGTCAAGTCCAGGTGAGCAGTGTGCATAAGGCTCCTTAGGTATATTTCCTTTTGGTCTGTCAATCTGTAAAACTAAAAATTTCTCTGCTCCACACACACCAAACATACAAGCATCACTTTAGATTTTGTGTTTCATTCTAGCTTCAGCCTTGATTCACACAAACACATTACATACTCCTTACCCTCTCTCTGCTCTCAAGAATTATGTCCAGGTAAAATCAGATTAAAATAAATATCAATGAACCCTTAAAGATCAAAGAAGTGATAAAATCTTACCTGAGAAGGTGGTAGTATGTAGAGGTAAGTATGTAGTCCTGCCCAATTTGGTGATGGATAGGGCATGTTTGTAGATGAAAGAGGCATGGAAGGTATAGGTTCAGAAGGTGGAGTGAAAGAATGGCCACTGAGAGTATAAGCTTCAGGACTCCTGCTGGTCCAATGGAGGAGCTTCACCTCCCTCCCCTGACCCATGCCTGTGTGGTGAATCCCAAATCCCACTGAAAGGGGCCCTCTGATTGGCTCCACCCTGGGAACAGGTCTGCACCCAGTTCATGGCTCAGAACATTATGAGGTTTTCTAGAAATGCATGTGCTCAACTCTTACTCTGAATATCCTGAAGAAGAATCTGTGTGGTGTGTGTGTGTGTGTGTGTGTGTGTGTGTGTGTGTGTGTGTGTGTGTATGTGTATAAATTCTGTGTTAAAAACAAACCTCAAAAGCTCAATAGCTGACAGTGGCAGGCAGCCAGAATTGAGAGCTGTTGGACATGCATCCTCGAGGTGTGGCTTCTTTCTTCTCCAGCTGCTCGTGCTCCTGTTGTTTCCTGCCAGACTTATTTCTTTTTCTTTCTGGACATGACTTCTTATTTAACTTTATTGAAAAGCAATTGCTTATTTCAATTTAAACAATTTAAAGTCTTTTTAATTCGTTATTGATTTTTTAATCCCCAAATGTTTGAGACTTTAAATTGTTTTCATACATGCTATATTGCTATATATTTTGTAAGATTTATACCATAATGTGATTTAAACAATACTGTAAGATTTAAACTCTGGGTATTATGTTATAGTTGAGCCAATTGTGTTTAAGTATGTTTTAAACTTAACAATAAAGGTTTTTTTACTTTTTTGTTCTCAAGAATTCTATGCTTTCTTATATTCGTTTCTATTGTTCTAATAATAAAAATAACCACAGATAACCATTTATTGAGCACCTACTCTGTGTCAGGCCATACTGTTGTACAAAATTGATCTCTCATCTCCACAGCAGATTTGCTCAGTTGAAATTGTTTTATTGATGAGGGACCCAAAGCCCAGTAAATTGCCCACAGCTACATGCTCAGAGCTGCAGAGCTGTGATTCAAACCAAGGTTTGTCAGATACCAGAGCCCTTCTTTTCACGACACCAGGCTGTTCTCTGAATGTCTCAGTGTGGGAACTGCTGAAAAGCAGTGCAGGAGACATGGTCTTCTGAGCTGTGGGTGGGTGGTAGAGCTGGTGGAACTATCTTCTCTCCTTACGGTGGGTACCATTTATTTTCTTTTTTTCTCAGCATCTTTCCTCTTCTGGTTTATCTCTCATTTGCCATTTCCTCCTAGGTAGAATTCCAGTAGTTGAATTCAATCAATATTAGGCTCCTGCAGAGATCTGCCCTGGGCTATGTGCTGTTCACTGTGGAATAGGACTTGCGGTGCTCTCAGGGCTCACAGTCCTGTTCTAAGAGAGGAAAGACACTGAGGGAAAGTGAAGGGACAGTAGAGGCAGCGTAATTAAGACCAGCAGCTATCCTGCTCTGGGAAGATATCAGAATGACTTTTCCAGTTCCAATAGTGTGACAACCAATATCACTTGGAATAGATTTTTAAGAGAAGGAAACCTAGGTTGGGGGAGGAGAGAAGTAACATGAGGTGAGTTCTGACAGTTTCCATTGTGTGTACTTTGAATATAATCAACTCAATTATGCAATTGTTTGTTATCAGCTTTATGGGTGAACAGTAAGAAAGACTGCAAGCTCATTTGCTAGCGCCACTCAAGATAATTCCAGCCTGCCTTGCTCCCTGTCCATTCCTATGTTATACAGGAATGAAGACAATTATATTTGATTAAAGAAACATAATTTTTAAATCAATGTATGAGCAGCGGTTTGAAAGGGTCTCAGAGCCCCACAACCTTATCCTCAAGCAAAATGAACAAAGGGACTTGGTCTGTAAATGAACTCCAAGCAGCTCCAGTCTGGAGGGAGATGGGGGTTGACACCTGACCCATCCTTTGACTATGAGCTTGGGGGCTAGGAGGCTTCTGAGGGGAAGAAAACTAGAAATAGAGGGTGCTCCAAATCCAGTAAATTCAAAAACAATATCTACACCCTCTAGCCCTTCTCAGATATTTGAATGTCAGCTGTATTTGGAACTTTGTGTCTTCTGCCAAATTACTGTTTTGCTCCAACAGCTCCCCAGTGAAACTGGAATCATCCAGTTTCTCTTTGGAAAGCCACCTGCTCCCCAAAGCATTCCAACTGCAAACACCTTTGAGATGCCTATGTATGGTTTTCCTTTTTTGCTTTACTAAGCAAAGCCTTTTAATACTTAGGTGCTAATTAGCAGAAATTCAGTAAACAATCTGGCCTGTTTTATTGCTCTGTACACTAATCTATTCTTTACATTGCTTTAATGGGTGATAAATTATAGGAATCAGATTAATTTCCCCCCTAATTTTTCATTTATCAAATACTGTTTTATCTCAGTTAATTATTCTAAGCCAGTTAAGTGTGTTTTTGATAAGATTTAAGTGTGTAGAATTGGTCCAATGCCTTTTAGGACATTTCTGTTTTCCAGTGTTCACCAGATAAATCAATTTGTGAATAAATGCTGAACCCAGGATGCTTGAAAGGAAAATTTAGCTCTCTCCATTTCTGTTCTGGAAAGTGCTATGTATTCAAAGGACTCAAATTGAAATTAATAAGAATATTGCTGTTCAGTTCCTCCGACAAAGATAGGTGGCACCTGCATCTTTTAGAATATCATCTTATTGAAGTGGCTTGTGTCATGATCAAGCTGTTTTACAAGGAGGTACATATATACTGAATTTATTTGATGACCAACAATAGCATAAAATGAAGGCACTTCATTATTCACTCAGTTATTTCTAAACGAGAAGATGTTTGGCATCATATAAACAAAATTTATAAGCGATGAGTCCATATTTTGCTTTCCAAATCAATGCTTTTGCATCATGTAGACCCAGCTTTAGATTCAAGTTCAAACGAAAGACTTAGTCACTGCAATCATTTTGGCTCAAGGAAGCTCAAACTGTGTTTATTGATATTTGAACCTGGGCTGAATACGCAGCACAAAGCTGCTGAAAGGCAACACAAGAAGCCTGAACCGAGTTGATGTTGCCCCATTTTCTCTCCCACAGGGACACATGGAAGGGGAGGTGTGGGGGCTGGCAGCTCACCCTCTTCTGCCCATCTGTGCAACAGTGAGCGACGATAAAACACTTCGCATCTGGGAACTATCCTCCCAGCACCGCATGCTGGCGGTACGGAAGCTCAAAAAAGGTACATGACATCACCTTACACATCTGTGAAAGTATTTACGAACAACAGAATGTGTTGGATTCATGTATGTATTCCACTAATATTTACTGAGAGCACCTATTATAAACTCCAGGATATGCTAGGCAACGGGAATTCAATGTCTGTTGCTACAGTTATCATTCGGCACATGCAGAATTATTCCAGGAAGCTGCTCTGATCTATCGGTGCCCAGCTCTGTTATTCACTTGATGTTCCTTGCACTGCACAGACATTTGCCAGCTGGGGGCAATGTGTTCTTCCTCTTCTCATTGAGAGCTGTGCCACTCAGTGGAACTATATCAGCTTATAAAGAATGCTGCTTATCTTTATGTCTGACAGTCTCCAGAACTCATTGTATTACTGGAAAACAAAAATCAGCTATTCAAAAAAATAATACTTAATATCAAGAAATGAGTAAATATGTATTGAACTCCTATGTGCACTACAACTAAGAGGTGTACCAAGAAGTATGAATTCAGCAAGTATTTATTGAGTAGCTTCTATGTGTCAGGCTCTAGGGATCCCAAGATGAATGGTACCATCTCTAGTTTCAGAGATGGACAAGATTTGAACAGAGTCCCAGCAACAGATGGTGCATTCACATTGGGTAATTTGAGGAGCGTCTAAAAACAGGACTATTTGTAAAGGGGTGGTAGGGTGCCGAGGAACGACTGGGGATAGTGCAGCACTCTGAAGCTATTAACAGCTGAGTACCATTACCAGCCCTGAGCCTGAACGGGCAGGAGGGAGTGATTGCTGGGACCCTGAAAGTGAGAGCTATGTGAGATGGCAGCCTAACCATCTCAACCACAGCCCAGAGACTCAACCACATGCAGCGACCTCGCAGCGAGGCAGCGAGGGAATTACATCCATCTTTCCTCCTTCCCTCCCTCCCTTTCTCCCTCCTCCTGCCTGTGTGCTCCCCTGGCCAAACCCAATCAGAAGCCAAAAGGCCAGGGAGCCCATTGATGCAGACCATACAGGCCAGTTCCAGGCACAGAACAGGACGGAGAGTGGGTGTGGAGAGACAAACCAAAGAAATCTGGCACAGGCTGGTACTATGGAGGCTCAGAGGAAGGTCTACTGCCAGGGACGGACAGTTTCATCAAGGAAGAAACATGAGAGCTTAGGCCCAAAGGATTTGCAAAATTTCTTAAGACAGCAAAGGATGAGATTGGGGTCTGGTGCTAAAGTATTTGTACTGGGTAGTCGTATAAGCAGAGAGACCTGGGGACTATCATCTAGGGGGATAAAATCAAGATGTCAAGATAGTAGTAAAAATAAGGAAGGTGGCTAATATTGCTGAGCCAGCAACTGTGCTAGCACTTCAAGTTTAGTTTTCACGGGAGCCCAATGACTAAGGCGTTAGTACTAACACTTACAAATTAGGAAACGGAGGCACAGAGAACTTAATTCATTTGCCCAAAGTCTCATAGCTTGTAAGTGATGAAACTGAATTCAAACCCAGGCAGTGTTGCTTCTGAGGGCACCCCTGTGGCCGCCGCATGACGCTGCCGCCTCCTACCGTATTGCCTCTCTTTACACTGAACTTCTGGGACTTTATATGTGGTGGAGCCGGGACTCAAACCCAGGTCTGACTCCAAAGCCCATGCTCTTAACTGCTACTACAAAATTGAATCATTTGGCCACTAATTTATATTGGGGAAATGATAAACCAAGTAAGCCCTCACTGCAAGCGGCTTGAATGTCAGACGATGGACTTTATTCTCTAGTTAAAAATTCATTCAAAAGAACAACTACTAAATTATGTTAGATAAGATGACCCTTCAACCCAGTTTACAGCTATGGTCCTGTTGTAATTATTAATTTTTTTTAAAGATTTTTATTGGGGAATTGGGGGATGGGAACAGCGCTGGGGAATTGGGGGAAGGAGAACAGACAAGTTGCTGTCGTTTTGTTCTTCAGTCTAGTTGTGGAGGACATTGCTTCACTGGCCCAAGTTGGCACCATCATTGCGCTCTTCCCGGGCGAGGCAGATCAGTCGCGGGCTTCTGGACGGCTGCTCACTGCGGCTGCTGGCCACTCACACTGGCTGCTGGCTACACACACTGTAGTCCATGGCAACCCACTGCCACAGGGGCTGCAGCCTACGCTGTCGCCGGTGACTCACAGCAGCCCAGCTCCAGGTTGAGCTGTTGTTCAGCATCTTAGCTGTGGAGGGCAGTGTCACTGGCCCTCATGTGCGGGATCCAAACCGGGGCCCTCTGGCGTCCCAAGCCAGTTCTTAACCACTGCGCCACGCGGCCGGCCCTGTTGTAATTATTAATATCTCTCCATTTCACTCTCAGAAGTGTCCTGATTTGTACAATAAATCATATGATTAACCTAATCTTTATGACTCTCCTCAAGGACAGGCTTGTCTTTTGTTCTTTCAGCACTAGCACCGTGCCTGACTAATCATAGGTAAATAAGTGTTTGCCATGTGAATGAATGAAGGAGAAAAGGGAGATATAATTAAGATTAGCCAATTTAAAGTTACTGGTTTGAACACAGCTCTCAGCATACCATGAACAAGGGACTGAGGGATGTGTGTGGAAGCTCAGTGGGGAATGCTTTGGTAAAAGGCTGCATGACTCTCGTTGCTGAGGATGTGCTTACCAAAGTCTTCACAATAACAACGAGGAGGGGGGCATTTCTTAAATAGGATTGCTGTTCAGCATACCCCGATAGAGCCCATACTCCTCTTTCAGAAATGTCTCCTTGTGACCCTACAAAACAGTAGAAAGCATTGCTCACGTAGCACCGTCAGCCCATCATTAGTTTTATAGACACCTCTTGAGAGATCGTTGTCCATATTCCATTCTTCTCATGATGGAAGAGGCAGGAAGCAAATATTTCACCCCCAGAATTATACATTATGATCCATGGATCAGAGAATTGGAATAAAACAACAAGGTTCTCTAAAGCAATTTTACGTGCAAGGCATGATATATATATATAAAAGTTTTTAGAAATTTTATTACAGAGCTCCTTAAGTATCACCTCTTTTCTTGGAAGCAAAGACACTGGTTATATTAACTCTTTGAAACATCCCAGGTACTCAGATGCCAAGAAATGAATGGATACCCTCAAAGCAATTGAAAATGTATTATCAGCATTATGATCATTGTCCTTGGGTATGGAGAGAAGAGGTGTTTTAAGTTATAAAGCTTTAGTTCTTCTCACAGGTAGTGATGTGTATATGCAAATTGCCCCATGTCTTCACTTTGTTTGATAGTAAAGTACAGACACTAACAGTGTTCTTTGTGGACTCTTGTAGGTGGGAGATGCTGTGCCTTCTCCCCTGATGGGAAAGCCTTAGCAGTTGGCCTGAATGATGGGAGTTTCCTGGTCGTAAATGCTGACACTGTTGAAGACATGGTCTCCTTCCATCACAGAAAAGAAATGATCTCTGATATTAAATTTTCAAAAGGTAAAGATGACAGCAAAAAATATATATATTTTTTTAGCTGAGCCATCCTGCCACCTGTTGGCAGCTCAGTGGCAGCTCAGCTCGGGCCGGACTCAAACCACTGTTGCTCAGAGCTCAAACCGTTGAGTGAGCTCTTAACCAACTGAGCCACTCGGCTGGCCCTAGCAAAAACTTTTTTAAATGTATTGGGACAAAAAGGTACAAGAGAGGGCTATTTTCACCATCTCCTTGATCTTTACCTCATTTAAAAATGTTAAGTTTCTGAAAGTAAATTCCTATATAAAATGTTTTGATATTAACTGCACACTTTTCTTTATAGATACAGGAAAATACCTTGCTGTGGCATCCCATGATAACTTTGTGGATATTTACAATGTACTTACGAGCAAAAGGGTTGGCATCTGTAAAGGTGCTTCTAGCTATATTACACACGTTGACTGGGACTCTCGAGGTAAAGTATGTTGTGGCTTTTAAAACATAATATTGTTTTGAAAAAGTCATTGTCTATTCATATATGTTTCTAGAGAATGGCAATTGAGTTTTAGAGAAAAGCAGAGGGGGAGGGGACCCCGTAACAATATAAATGACTATAATCTTACAACCTAGAGGCAGCTGCTGTTAACATTTGGAGTATTTATTTCGATATTATTATTGTTGTTGTTGTTGTTAATTCAAGCCACTGAGCTTTAAGAAGGTCGGAGACATTCATATATGACCCCTTCTGTTACCCTAGCAAGCTACCACCTTCCCCTTTGAGCTCGGCATGCTGTGTCTCCTCCTTACTGCTGTCCCTTTTCTTACCAATGCTCCACCTCCTGGAGAACTGCCCAAGAAGCCTCAAGCAATTTTCATCCTCCAGCAGAGGTGGAAAGCTACATTCAGCTCACCTAAAGTTTCTCCGCTCTCCAAAACTCGCAGCCTACCCTCTGCCTCCTCCAAATCATGCCCACAAACACCTTGGGGATATGTCTATTTATTTAACAAATCTTGCTTCTGCCATGTGCAAAGTCTTAAGCCAGAAAATGTGGAAGAACCAGAAGTGAGACATGGTTCCTACTCTCCTCAGAGTTTATAATTTAGTGAGGGAGATGTCCTTGTGCCTGAATAATATAGGAGCACAAACTGGGTGAGGCACTGGAGTAACACATGGTGAGACACAGAGAAATTGGTGAGCGGGGGCTTGGAATGGGCAAGTCAGCATTAAGCACCCAGGGTGGAGCCTCAGTGCTATAGGGAAGATCACTTTTTTTTATTCTTAGTTTCAGGTGTACAAAACAACATACTGACTAGACATTTACACTCCTCACAAAGTGATAACCCCACCAAGTCTACTATCCATCTGACAGTGTATAGAGCTGTTGCAATACCATTGACTATATTCCCTATGCTGTACTTTACATCATGTGACTATATATTTTTTAAGTTACAGTTGACAATATTATTTTATATTAGTTTCAGGTGTACAGTGTAATGGTTATACATTTGTATGATTTAAGAAGAGATCCCCTGATAAGTCTAGTACCCATCTGACACTATACATAGTTGTTACAATATTATTGACTATAATTCCCCATACTGTACTGCACCTCCCCTGACTATTTTGTAACTATAGGGTAGGTCACTTTTGAATTCCATCCTGGGAAGTTGGCTGACACTGGAGGCAGGTATTTAAGTAACGGCAGGGCCCCAACTTTCAGAGAAGTTTACTGTGGTGGAAGAGCTCCCAGGGGAATCCATGGAGCCTTCACAAGGGAGTGACCTTTGAGATGAATCTTGGAGGATGAGCAGAAATTCACCAGATGGTAAAATTTAGGGTAAGCATTCTAGGCTCAGAAGGAACATGGTGTGCCAGGACGTGGAGGTCGGGAGAACAGGGGTGATTAAGAAATAGGGAGTAATAATGAGTGGCTGAGGTTCAAAGGGAGGGGAATGTGGTGAGACAGACAGAATGTAAAGGAACTTCGGTGTCATGTGCGGAAGTAGAGCACTGAACTTGACCCTATAGGCCTTAGGTAACTCTAAGGGACTGCGTGGGTATTCCCTACTGTCTTGGGGACAGTGAGAGAGCCTAGAGTTAGAAAGCCACTAAAATAAACCAGAAAGATGACGAGGGCCTCAACCAAAAAGAGGTTATTTCTGAGATGCCAGAATATTTTATTTCAAGTATTTCTTGAAGTGGCGGCCATAAAACTGACCCTTCTGCCAAGGCAGGTATTTGGTTGTAGTTGTACTCGCTGTACTGGAATTTGGACTTTATCTAAGCTTTACAACCTGCAAGCATTTTATACAGTGCAATAGAGAGGAAGAGAGCATGCCATTTATGGTAAGAGGTGCAAGTCCCAACAAGGGCAAAGGGGGATCAGATAAGTCCCTCTCACTTGCCTGTAGAGCCACGCCAGACACAGTGCCGAGGGCTTAGGCTGGCATCTATAGTCGGGCAGGACACCGGGGGCCGGAGTCATCTAGGAACCAGTGAGGTCAAGGAGGGTAGATGGAAGCAGCCACCGCTCAACCCCCTTCTTTAATATTCTCTGCTTTATTGGGGTTTTTTTTAAACAAACAAAATAAAACAGTGATTTCCCCCTATATATTCTCTGGCTAACAACCCTAGATATGCTTATGAGAAAGATTAAAACAGTCAAGGCCAGCCTTATGCATACATAGAATAGAGATAGAGCATGGTGAGTTTTATTCAAAATCTAACACACACACACATACTACCTGACATAATATGAGAAATCCCATGACAACAATGACCATTGGGGGATTAAAACCCATTTATTATTTACATATTAGAAGGGCCAAGAGCAAATGAGATGTAGGGAGAATAAGTTTCGATTGGGAAGATTTCTTTAAAATTACTTTTAATTGTGATAAAATAGATGTAACATGAAACTTACCATCTTAGCCATTTTTAAGTGTACAGTTCAGTGGCATTGAACACATTCACGTTATTGTGCAACCCTCACCACCATCCATCTCTAGAGCTCTTTTCATCTTGTAAAACTGAAACTCTCTACCCATTAAACAATAATTCCCCATTCCCCCAGTCCCTGGCAACCACCATTCTGCTTTATGTCTCTGTACATTTGGCTACTCTAGGTACTTCATATAAGTGGAATCATACAGTATCTGTCTTTTTTGTGACTGGCTTATTTCACTTAGCATAGTGTCCTCAAGGTTCATGTTGTACAGTGTCAGAATTTCCTTTCTTCTTAAGGCTGAATAATATTCCATTGTATGTATATACCACATTTTGTTTATTCTTCATCCATCAATGGATACTTGGGTTGTTTCCACCTTTTGGCTGTTGTGAATAATGCTGCTATGAACACAGTGTACAGTTCTTTTGAGTATATAGCCAGAAGTGAAATTTCTGGATCAAATGATAATTCCTTTTTTAATTTTTTAAGGAAACACCATAATGACTTTCACAGTGGCTACAGCATTTTACATTCCCACCAATAGTGCACAAAGGGTTCCAAATTCTCCACATCCTTGCCAACACTTGGTTATTTTTGGGGGGAGGGGTGGGTTGTTGTTTTGTTTTTTATAGCAGTCATCCTAATGGGTATGAGGTGGTATCTCATTGTAGTTTGATTTGCATTTTGAGAGGATTTTTTATTCTGTAAGTGTGTATGCTTTGTGTTGGCTATTAGGGATGCAAGGAGGAGTAAATCACAGATGGAAAGAATATGATCTTGGCCAAGATCAGTGGGTTGTGGCCATGGAGGGGCCTGGGTGAAAATCTGTATATAAGCCCTCAGTGGGAAGCCATCACTTTGTGGAGAGAGAGGGAAACCTCACCATTTCCATAATTCTGCCCAAAGCTAGCTAGCATCTGTGGTCCAGCTAGCACTCAGGATAATGACAAAAGCACTGGAGGCTGAAGTCGTTGAAAAGCCACCTCGCCTAAGTGGCCCCTTCAGTCAGATGAGAGGACCAGGCCAAATGGTTTCTGGGACTGAGATAAGAACAGAATACTCTTGATTTGGGGACGGAGTTATACCAAATACCATCTGGAGAATAAGAGCAAGTGTGCCTGTGAATCTTCCCTGGTTCATCTCCAGTTTCATTGCCATGAGATGTGTCATATTGATATTCTTATGTTCCTGATCTCTGAGTTCCACAATATGCCAGGCTGCCTCAAGACCAGCCTGGCTTTTTACAGCAGGGCCTCCAGGGTCTGCAAAGGGTAGAGGAAGAATTTAGGCGCAGGAATCTGTTTGACCTTGTCAAAAAGAGTGAATACATTTGCTGAGCCTGCTGGCTCATCAGGGGCGGGGAATGGCTTAGCCTTCACCCTCTGTAGCCTTTTGTGTCCATGGCAACCACAGGTCTTAGGAAAACCGAAAAGTGCACCCGTCCTTTACAGAAACAGTAGCTACCCCTGAATGAAAGCTCCTGCACAAAATGCTTGAGTAAGAAAAACATATGTGGAGAGGGAAAATGTGGAGGGATGTTTTCTGGTTGCTTTTAGCTCATTTCTTTTAGAAATAACAGGACTATAAGATCTTTTAACAATTAGCAGTTTGAGCCATAGTAAGACATCTCATTCCTATTTTCACTGTAAGTGGCCTGATACGTTTGGTACATTTAGTACCAATTTTAGAATTGTTCTAAGTAGTAAATTATATAGCTGGGATAATGTGTGTAAATATTTTGTGAACTATAAAGTTCTATGCACCTGTGACATGTGCGAGTTACTATACCTGCTTGGAAATGAGGACATCTGTCCCTTTCAATGTCCTTATTCTGTGTGAGTAGACATTTGTAGTGAATAAAAATGTGAGGATTCTGAAAGAATAGGGTTACTATTATTCCGGGGTGAGCTATACATGGACTATACAGACTTTTTCTCTGTTTCCACTCCTGTCCTCAAGCTATTTCAGTGGTTATATATTACACCAAAGCGGGCAATGGGGGGGGGGGAAGTGATGACCTAAATATTTCCTCTATGCTAAAAAAAAACCAGTCTAATAACAGCAGTAAAGAAAATTTGGGTGAAAAAACACACACCCGTAATTTCACCTTCCTAATACTAGAATAGTTGATGCTTTATTTTCTTTTTAAATTTTAATTTCACCTCCTTGGTTGCAAGGAATAGAAACCTACTCAATCCAACTTAAATTTAAAAATAATAATAAAGGAGGAGATTATTGGAAAGACATAAGGATACTTTCTAGAACCCAGTAACAGGAAGCAATGCCCCCTGAGGAACTAACTGGCTTTAGGAATGAACTGGAAAACGCCCAGAAACCAAGGAGGCAGTTCCTCTCCCCCTCCTTTCCTGCCCTGAAGTAGCTTGTTTCAATGTCCACTGCTGTTCTGGGCCTGGTGCTGCTTTTGGACCCTGTCTCCACTCAGGCAGGCTTTCCCTAATTCATTTGCTCATAGCCTATTCACTCTCTGTTGCCCTCAAATGCTACCCTTAGTCCCAAGGTGCACATCTAGTCCCAGCTAGGCACCCACTGATTCAGCCTCCCAGATAGCAGTTTCCCAGGGGAGAGAATTCCTGGCTCCTGTGGAGGGCAGTTCTCAAGGGAGGGACATGGCCTAGGTATGTCCACAGGTGTGTATGACTCTGTGAAGCACCTCTGGTGCTTGTCTCTTGTGTTTAGATTTTCTAACAGTTTTACAATCATAACGTACTTCACTGAGCTATTTTAACCATTTTGGATTTGTTTTTCTAAATAAAGTATGATCTTTGAAACTGTGGTATAAAGTGAGTTGTTAGGATTATCTGAGAATTACTATCCTTTGGATTCTGTTAGACTCATGGCCACAAATCTTCTAAAATTAGCCATATTCACAGAATGTTTTCATTGAATCCATTAATCCTTTTTCCACATCCTTTGTTATTTGCAATCACTCTTGAGAATTCTAAAAATATATTTCATGGATATATTTAGTTCAATTGAAAAAATATTGGTCACCCATTTTCTTATCATGCTAAATAACCAAAGCTAATTTAACTCCCCTTTTTCTCATTTGTGTAGTATGTTCAGCCATCAAGTCAGAAAAACGTGCCCATTTCAGAGAAAACATTTTCAAATTTTCTTGCTCTTCACAGCCAAGGCAAAAATCCTTCACCACCAGTTGTGAAATGAGAGAATCTTGTTTGTAATTAGTCACTTCAAAGCAGACCTGCAGTTCCTGAAGGTTAGCCAAGCTAGATTTCAGATGTAGGTGTTGCCCACAACCCTTAAAGAACATGATAAAAACCACAAAGCTCTTATTTTGGTATTATGTTTCCAAGAAGGGCATTCCAAGACTACTAGATGTAAATATTGGGTTGTCAGAAAACTCATGACAGGGCCAGCTGAGTGGCGCGTTGGTTAAGAGCTGGCTTGGGATGCCAGAGGGCCCTGGTTCGGATCCCACATCTGAGGGCCAGTGATACTGCCCTCCACAGCTAAGATGCTGAACAGCAGCTCAACCTGGAGCTCGGCTGCCGTGAGTCGCCGGCGACACAGCCTCTGCTGCAGTGGTTGCCATGGGTTACTGTGTGTAGCCAGCAGTCGCTGTGAGCAGCCATCCAGAAGCCAGAGACTGATCTGCCTCACCCAGGAAGAGCGCAATGATGGTGCCAACTTGGGCTAGTGAAGCAACGTCCTCCACAACTAGACTGAAGAACAACAACAAAAAAAAGGACAGCAACTTGTCTGTTCCCCTTCCCCCAATTCCCCAGTGCTGTTCCCCTCCCCCAATTCCCCAATAAAAAAATCTTAAAAAAAAAAAAAGTCATGACATATTTTTTCTATGTTTTTCATTACAAAAATGTGTCATGACTTTTCCTACAACCCAATAGTTATGGAAAAAAGAGAGGGGGGAATGTTATTATGTATACATACACTGAATTATTCGCAGATGAAATATTAGTGTATCAGATTTGCGGCAAAATAACCTGGAGTGAGGGAGTAAGGAGAAGTTCAGGAAACGGGGTTGGCCATGTGCCAACTGTCGATGCTGGCCTCTCGTGACATAGAGGTTCTTTATGCTATTTCTTACTTCCGTATGTGTTTGAAATTTTCCATAATTAAAACAAATGCTTTAAAAATACTGGAAAGTGTACCTTTTGAGTCATTTAAATTTCAAGCCTTAAAGGATTATTGACGTGGTAGAGGAGAAAGGAAATCTAATCTTTTTCAACATTAATCAAAATGAAACCAAGATTACAATTTTACGTCAGACTGAAAGACTATTTTTGCTCAACATTTTGTTTTGGGAAAGTCTTGTTTTTCTCTACAAATTTTCAAGTAGGATGGGGGAGGCGAGAGGGAAATGAGCATTTATAGTTTGTGTGTCGTTTTCCTGTTTCTAAACTTTCAAGGGCAAATTTAGAATTTAGACCTGAGTAAATGTGAGTACTTGCAATAGGGTTATCACTTCTGATGCCATAATTCTTGCCAAAGCAGTCTGCTTTTGCTACATTTCTGTGCTAGGTAGGAGGTAATGGGGGAAAAGAGCAAAAAATAGATTTTTGTCAAGCTTTGGAAAAATAGCTACTTTGAATGCAACAGAGTAAAGCATAGAAAGCTTGATTTTTCTATTCTTGAAGAATGGTCAAGGTCAGGTTTTATGAGGTTCATATTTTATCAAAAATTTATAGCTTTGGAGTTTGTATCGTGCCATGGAATAGCCTTTATGTGCACTTGTCGATAATTCACCATATAGTCAATTCACAGGAGTTGGAGTAAAATGAATCACAGTAGTTGCAGCCATGCTTATCACTTTATAATAAAAATATCCATGCAGAGTTTAATTGTCTCTATTTTATCATAACAGGGAAATTGTTGCAAGTTAATTCGGGTGCCAAAGAACAACTCTTCTTTGAAGCTCCAAGAGGCAAACGGCATATAATAAGACCTTCAGAGGTAACAGTCCCACCCAAAGTGTTAAAAAATATTATTTCATGGACATTTAGTAGGTGCATTTTAATAAAACTTATCAATTCTTATCCACTAATATGGGTTACATTTACTGTACCTTTAAGCTTGATCATTTCTTAAATCTGGTTGCCTAATCTGGTTTTGCTTTATCTGAGGATTTATGGATTTACTATACTACTGATACAGCAATGTGCAGTTGGCTTTCTGCTTAATTTTTCTGTGCCTGGTGACAATGATTAAGCTAACAATTTAGATGCTATATATATTTACCATTCAACATGTGGTTTTGTGCAAAGCTTGTTATGAACGTAAATTTTTGAAATATACTTTTTCAATGCTTACTATTTGTAATAATAAGCAATATCTTCTGTACCTCATTTATCAAACTGTTTTTTTCCATGTTTTCCTCATGTCCTTAGCCACATGCATAATTTTTTAATTGTTGAAATCAAAGGTTAGATAAGATTTTTGAACGCTCAGCTAAACAGTGCTTCCATATAATGATCCTGATGGCCAAAAGGTCATTGCCCGATTGAGCTCCAAGAATGTCCCCTTAGTCCCTGGAGACAGTATGACTCATATATTTGATTCCTTTGAGGAAAAGTGGGTAAGAGTATGCCGCTGATGGATAAGCATCTGCCTCTCTTTTCAGTGTACCAGTAATATAAACTATCCCAGTATTGTAAAGTAATCCCAGGGATATTTGTATATGTGAACATTCATAATGTTTTCATTGTTTCTAAAGGAAGTATATGTGCAGTACTTAAGGAACACAAGTTTTTGTAGATGATGGCATTGTATTAATGGAAATTGTTTACTGATCGGTTGATCTCACTCCCCAATTCCAACTTATTTATCTATGATCAGTCCTCATTTTAACTTTTTAAAAATTTGTTGGGGGTAACATTGGTTAATAACATCATATAAGTTTCAGATGTACAACTTTATAACACATCATCTGTATGTTTCATTGTGTACTCACCACACAGAATCTAGTCCCCCTCTGCCACCATATATTTGACCCCTCTTTATCCTCTTCATCCTCCCCGTTTCCCTCTGGTAACCATCATACTGTTGTCTGTGTCTGTGAGTTTGTTTTGTTGGTTCATTTGTTGCTTCTAGTTTTATATCACACATATGAGTGAAATCATACGGTTCTTGCCCTTTTCCGCCTGACATGTCATTTAGCACAACATCCTCAAGATTCATCCATGTTGTCGCATATGGAGAAACATTTATAGCCATGAATAAGGATCTTTTTAATGGTGTCATTCATTCACTGAACATCTGTTGAACGTGCTGGATGGACACTTCCTATGCCAATATTTTCATTTTCACAACAGCTTTGTGTGATAGTTGTCAATCTCATTTTACACACAGGGAAATAAAGATTCCAAGAGAGTAAGAGGAACCATGGAGCTGTGATCCCAACCTAGAGGGGTCTCTGTGTGACTCTACCTCAATTTCTAAGCATCATTTTACGTCTAAGGATCATTCTACATCACCTCACCTGTATTTTCCCATCCTGTTTTAATGACCCAAAATAAATACACTAAAATAAAGTGCAATTCAACCAAATGATGAAGGGAGGGGGATGAAGCCAATTTGAGACAGATGAGCAATTATTATGTAAAAGGATACACATAAGAGGGAAATTCATGTTATGAGGCTTCCTGAAATTCCAGGCTCTGGCTCCGAAGAGTAAATTGTCACTTTGTGATGCACATTCATTTTTCCAGAGGTTGATCTTTGGTGCTGTTGGCAGGGGAGGCCCTCCAGCTGATGTTTTCTTGGCCAAGCCTCCCTGGGTATGCCACTCCTAAGAGCACCAAGGAGGTTGCTCATGGTTTCCATCACCAATGTTGTCAGGCCTTTTAATTGAGTATGAAGGATTTCGAAAATCTCCTTTTTAAATTTTTTTTTTTTAAGATTTTATTGGGGAATTGGGGGAGGGGAACAGCACTGGGGAATCGGGGGAAGGGGAACAGACAAGTTGCTGTCCTTTTGTTGTTCAGTCTAGTTGTGGAGGATGTTGCTTCACTGGCTCATGTTGGTGTTATCATTGCGCTCTTCCCCGGGTGAGGGAGCTTGGTTGCTGCCCTCTGGATGGCTGCTCACAGTGGCTTTTGGCAGCTCACACCAGCTGCCGGCTGCTTACGCTGGCTTCCGGCCTCTCACGGTAGCTTATGGCAACCCACTGCAGCTTCACTGCAGCCTATGCCATCACGGTGACTCATGGCAGCCCAGCTCCAGGTTGAGCTGTTGCTCACCATCTTAGCTGTAGAGGGCAGTGTCACTGGCCCTCATATGGGATTCAAACCAGGGTCCTGCTGCTTAAAGCCGGCATCCCAAGCCAGCTCTTAACCAACGTGCCAATGTGCCACTCGGCCAGCCCAACTTTTTTTTTTTAAGAAACAGGTGCAGTGAAATTACACAAAGCTTACCCTGAAAATTGTTAAATATGACAAATATTAAAATATCCATTTAAATCCATCTGATTTAACTGCAGCACGGTGCAGTTAAAGCAGCTCTATGCTAGGAGGCCAACCCTCTGGACCTCAAGTTCCCCTCTGCTTGCTAAGTGTGCAGTGACTTACGTGACTCACCTCTCTCTGGGCTTCCAGAGTTGCTTCTTCTGGGAAATGGTGATCTAGAAAATAATGACATATCTGCCTGAGGCAAGGGGCTAAGGAAGAGGCCCCCTGAGGAGTCTCCTTCCATCTAAGTTCCAGAGGTCGTGTTTTTTTTTAACGATATACCCCTTTTGAGTTTTGTGGGCTAGAGGGATCATTTTTAATGTTCAATTTTAAATGCGATTTCTATAGCTCCCAACAAATTAGACATTTGCTTCCCCTAAGAGCATGGTGTCCAGCTCTAAGGGTGTTCTGTTGGAGTGAATGCATGATGAGCAATACCAGCTCACCCCCATTTCCTGTCCAGATAATGAGTCCAGGAAAGGTGCCACCCAGGGTGGTGGTGGTAGAGATGAGGAGGGAGGTCTCAGAAATAGGAACCTGGAAGGGAGCCAGTGGCCAGAAAGCCTGCTTCCAGCCAGCAGGGATGGGTCCCTGCTTCTCTTCCCACGAAGGCCAGTTTAGGATGTCATAAGAGTTGAGGAAACTCCACTACCCCTCAGGAAACTGAGGTACGTGAGGGGGTACCACCTCAAGCCCCTCAGCCGGTGGCACCTCAAGTCCCCAGGCCTGCACAGTTTTTGGTTGCAGTTCTGCATGTGTCCAGAAGAAACATACAATGTTAAATGAGGAGAAAGCGGGATGAATAAAATATGAATAACACCTCTCCTCATGACTAAAATCCTGGCTGCATCTTTATCTTGTCATTTCTCTTCTAAACAGTGAGAGCAAGCAGAAAACAACAGAATTGGAGGTGAGGTGCGTTAAAAGAGGGCAAAGCAGTTTTCAAAACCAAAGGGAGAGCTCTGGCTTGTAATTTTAGCTACAATTCTCTAATGATTTCTATACTCTTTTAAACAGTGCTTTAAAGTGCCTATCTATAAAAAAATTATAATGTCAAGATGTACTAGCAGATCTCAAAAGAGTAAATGAGATGAAATCCTCCAGGAAGTTTAATGCACAGTGTTGTTGTTATTGTTTATTGTTGTTTTATTTTAAAAGGGAAGAAAAACCTTGGTTTTATCAGGATTTAACCTATGTGAATTGTGAATTTTCTGTCCATGAATTTTAGACAAAACAGTTTTAAAGGATAAAATGTATACTCATGACAATACCATATGAACAGCTCTTCAGAGTTTTAAAATAGTCTATCTAGAGCAGCGGTTCTCAACCTTCCTAATGCCATGACCCCTTAATACAGTTTCTCATGTTGTGGTGACCCCCAACCATAAAATTATTTTCGTTGCCACTCTATAACTGTAATTTTGCTACTGTTATGAATCGTCATGTAAGTATCTTTTTGTTTTCCGATGGTCTTAGGCAACCCCTGTGAAAGGGTCATTCGACCCCCAAAGGGGTCGTGACCCACAAGTTGAGAACCGCTGCTCTAGAGCATAAAGGATATTAAGCTAGCTGCAGAATCTTATTACTCTTTCCTCCAAAGAAGCAGTCCTTAAAAAAAAAAAAAAGTTATGTCTTGGAACTTTCAAAAATAGTTTGCTAAGTGATCAGCTCCATTGATCAATCTAGCTCAGTGGTTTCCATTGGGAATTTTGCTCCCTCCTCCGGGGACATTTAATGATGCCTGGGACCAGCTTGGGGAGGGGTTGCAGCTGGCATCCGGTGAGTGAAGAACAAGGATGCTGCTGAACATACTACCATGCATAGGCCAGCCCCTGACACCAAAGCCTAACGTGTCAATATTGTTGACATTGAAAAACCCTGCTCTAGCTTATGGCTTATGTAATGATAAATGGTATTCAGGTAAGAACTAAAAAACTTTATTATTGTCAGCTTCCAACAATTCCAAAATGTTCATCTTATCTAGAGAAGAATATATGGATATTTGACAGCAGTGCTGGTTCATTAAGATATTCCATATACCCCTTTAAAAATGCATCTTAGAACTTGTGCACCTCAGCACCCAACACAAAGGCCTGATGTTTGCAAAGTCATCATTTCAAACGACTCAGCCTCAAATTTTTTCATTTAAACAAAACAAAAAGATCTCTAGGTTGACAGAAATGAATGAATTTTCTTTCCTTCTTTTTAAGATTGAGAAGATTGAGTGGGACACATGGACCTGTGTCCTGGGGCCCACCTGTGAGGGGATCTGGCCAGCACACAGTGATGTGACCGATGTAAATGCTGCCAGTCTTACCAAAGACTGCTCCCTCTTAGCCACTGGGGACGATTTTGGTTTTGTCAAGCTTTTTTCATATCCTGTCAAGGTAATAGTGCATGTTTCTTACATATACTTACCCAGTCTCATTAATAACCCAAAAATCTATCTGTTGTATCTAAGTGGATGTTTAAATATTGAAGGCATAAGGAATCAATAATGTTATTTTCAGTATCCTTGTTCTTTATGCTATATAAAAACCTTCATGACATTATGTTTACTAATCTGAGTCAGATTCTGGTGGCATGGAATTCCTCATTGAAAGGCCTCAACATCTCACAAACTGCAGAGTAAGCGTTTTCTTTAGAATGCCTTGGACTGGTGTCTTTCAAATGTGTACTAGCATACTTCCTGAGATGAAGAACTTACTACCTCACAAAGCAGCCTGATTCATTTCTAAATAGCTCTAATTGTCAAAATGTTTTGCTGTATATTGAGCTGAAAATTTTGGTCTTCAGCTCAAGTTCTGCCTTCTGAATCATCCTTGAATAATTCTAGTCCTCTGACAGTCTGTATATAGGCAGATCATATTTGATTCCCTGAGGTCTCATTCCCTTGCCTAAACATTTTAGTTCCTTCAGCCGTTTTCCATGAGACATGGTTTTCAGTGGCCCCCTCCCTCTAAGCACACTTCATTTTATCAATTTCATTTTAAATGGTCTCATTTAGAACTGAAATCAGTGCTTCAGCTGTCATTTGACCAGCTCGAGGTCCAGCAGGACTCTTCTTGTTTGAATCTTATATTTGTTTTAAATCAGACTAAAATGGCATCAGCTCTTTTGGCGGCCACACTACACAATTGAATCATAGATGTCACTGCCAAAAAAATGTTCAGGTTATCCCCCATCTTGTACTCATACAATTGACTTTCTAAACTCTGAGTACAGAAATTTATAATTTTACCAAATAAGAGTTATCTTGTTTATTTTATCTCATTTTTCCAACCTGTCAACATCTTTTAAATACTTTATGAAAGTATTTACTTTCCCTTCCAACATCACGTCATCCTCTGATTTCACAAGTGTGAGTTCTACATCATGGAAAGAAAATAAAATTTAGACCAGAACAACCAAATACCACCACCAGGAGCCACCGTTCAATTTGACATTCTGCTTAATGCACACATTTAGTTAGAACTCTTCAGTCATTAACAGATGCTTACGTCTATCTGAGTATGCTGTCATGGTGCTCACATTTCCCTCTCTAGTCCAATAAGACATCATTAAAAACTTGGCATATATCTCACTAAAAGCCAGATTGATTGTGTCTCTGGTATTCCTAATCTCTCTTTTTAACAAACCAGTCAATAAAAGATATGGGGTTAGTTCACAGTGAACCCTGTTGCTGCCTACTAATCATCACTTTCTTTTCCACGTGCTTATCGACCTCCTGTGTAATAATTTACCCTAGAATTTTCCAGGGATTACATCAACTCACAAATCAATATTTGCCAGAGTCTGCTTGTTTTCCCTTTTGGATACAGGAACGTTTTTAAGTTTGAGGTCACATCTCGGGGTTTCTAAACTCCTTAGCTATCACTGACTTTCTTTCTGTGGTCACATTTGAAGGAACATGTGCTCAAGTACCTGAGCTCTGTTTCACCCTTTCTAGTTTGAAGAGCATTCTCTTTAATACAGGAGATGAGTAGATCTGCTTTCTGTTCATACTAAACCACCTGATCTAAGAAGTGTTCCTAACTTTTCTGTATTTTTCTTTTAGCCATATATATATATATATATATATATATATATATATATATATATATATATATATATATATATATATATATATATATATATATATATATATATATATATAATCTTTTTCATTTGTCTTAGTTTTTTACTTTAACATTCCTGAAATTATATTAAAGTTGTCTGTGCAAGACTTTTGTGTCTATCCTTGGCTATTTGCTCCTCCTTCTGTCATTTGTACATTGAAACCCTGAACTCACCAGCTCCTTCTGCAGCTACTTGGGTATCTTTAAATGCCTTCCTCTGTCTATATTTGTTAATACTGGGTTGCCGGAAAAGTCATGAGGCATTTTTGCAACAAAAAACAGAAAAAAAATACGTCATGACTTTTCCGACAACCCAATATTTGATCAGATAATAATGTTTGGTAGCCTTTTCTTAAATTCATTTCTGATTATGTCCAGTCTTCCCTTCACTATCTGACTTCAAAGGTACCTGATGGCCCTCTCCTAGTGATCCATCACTTTACTGTCACTGACCAGCTCTTCCTGTTTGATCATAATTCAGTTCTAGGTAGCAATTTTCCTTGCTACTTCTACATTTTTTGAATAAGGTTGCTAGCAGCACAAGTCAAGAAATCAGTGATCCCCTGGTATTAGTAGACTAAAGTTTGGCAGATATTCAGATAGCTGACAGCCCCATAATACCATTGTATCATGCCCCTGTGCTAGATTTATTGTTGGTCTTGGAAATTTATTATCCATATCCCCAGCCTGACCAGGTGTGCTGTCTAGAGCAGTAATGTCAAGCTGTGTTCATCAGACTCCCAGAGTTCCAGGAGGGTCCTCAGGGACTACCCCAGGAACAAAGTAGGGGCCAACTGGATGGGTTCTGAGGCCTCACCACTGCCTCAACTATAGTCACTCTGTGTTTTGTAGTTTTCTATATTGAACTTCTGTGTAAGATCTTTTTTCTAACACTATTACAAAAAAATTCAATCATAGAAGTGAGGTGAAAGAATGATACAGGGAACTCCTAGAGCCCCACCACCTAGAGTCTATAATTCAACATAAATTGTAGACATCAGGATACTTACCCCTAAATGATTCAACATGCATTTCATTACCTAGAATTCAACATTTGTTTATGGTGGGGTTTTTTAGGTATAATTTATATACAGTTGAAATGCAAAAGTGTTAAGGGTCCTTTTGATAAGCTTTGACCGACACACCTATATAATCCAAACACTTATCATGATATAAAACATTATCATAACCCCAGAAAATTTCCTCATGATCCTTGATTCCTTCTGGGTCAATCCCTACCCTTGTTCTACCCTCAGATGAAAAAAATAGTCCAATGTTTTTCACCATAAATTAGCTTTACCTGTTCCAGAATTTCATATAAATGGAATAACCTAGTAGGCACTGTTTTGTGTCTGGCTTCTTTCACTCAGACGATGTTTCTGAGATTTCTCCATGTTGTTGTGTGTTATAACAAACAGCCTGCTCCTTTTTGTAGCTGAGTGGAATTCCACTGTTTGCATATCACAGAGTTTGTTTATCCCCACGCCTATCCATGGACACATTTTTTTCCCCCAGTGTCTGATTATAAGAAGGCTGTGTGAACATTTATAGACAAATCTTTATGGGCATATATTTTCTTTCTCTTAAGTAAATATGCAGGAGTAGAATTTTTGTGTCATACGGGGAAATGTGTCTAACTTTTTAAGAAACTGCCAGACCTATTTCCATTTTATATTCCCACCAAAAACGTAATAGAGTTCCAGTTGCCAACATTCAGGGTTGTCAGAATGGTAAAATTTAACTGTTCTGGGGAGCAGATAGTATGAACTCATTGTGTTTGTAATTTACATTTCCCTGATGACTAATGATGCTGAACACTTTTCATTTGCTTCTTGGCCATTTGTGAAGTGTTTGTATACATCTTTTGTCTACTATTTTAAATTGGACTGTGTATCTTTCTATTCTTAAGTTCTACTATGTCAGATTTCATTGAGAAATAGTTTCATATTTAAAAGCATTTAAAAATCACTGACCAATATAAACTCCTTTGATAGTATCACTTCTCTCCCTCCTATTTTTTGTTTTGTTTTTTTAATCTGATTTTTCTGGCACACTTACCCTTCCAAATACATGGACCCGAGCTGATGAATATTTCCAGCTGTAGAGTTTCACTCCTCTAATGCTCTGGGTGTGTTGGACAAAGTTTACTACCTGTTATGGATTGAATGTGTCCCCATCAAAATTCATATGTTGAAGCTCTAACTCCCAATGTGACTGTATTTGGAGATAAGGCCTTTATGAAAATATTTAAGGCTAAATGAGGTCATAAGGGTGGGGCCCTGATCTGATAGGATTAGTGCCTTTGTAAGAAACACCAAAGAGCTCTCCCTTTCTCTCAGTGCATGCGCGCACGCGCGCGCGCGCGCACACACACACACACACACACACACACACACACACGAAAGGCCATGGGGCCCACAGTGAGAGGTGTGTCCATAAGCCAGGAAGAAAGCTCTCACCAGAAACCTAATTGGCTGGCACCTTGATCTTAGACTTCCTAGCCTGTAGAACTGTGAGAAATAAATTTCTGTTGTTTAAGCCTCCCAGTATGTCATATTTTGCTATGGAAGCCCAGCTGGACTGACAGAAGTCCCATTGCAGTATTCTAGCATTGAGCTCTATGTCATCAAGTCTTGGTGATACTTATGATATCTTAACAGCACACAGCTCTCTTTGTGTCCAAAATTCAAGTTCTGTTTGTCAGACTCTAAGATCGTGTCTTCCTTTTGGCCCTTTTCCTTCTCCCTTCGTATGAGTTACTATGCATCTCTTCCAAGCGTTTTTCTTTTCATGACCATCATGGACCCTTATATATATTCAGTTTTACAGTTTAAAATCTTTTCAATGAGGTCCTTAGTGCCCTGACAATCACATTGTCTCCAGCCTCCATGAGATAGACTCTCCTTTGCCAGAGCCCACCTCTTTTGCTAGTACCATAAGCCATGTGTGGGTCTGTCCTTTGACACCATTTGTATAGCTAGCCATTTGCTTCCCAGAGCCACCCTCCCCTTCCAAAGCTACGACCTTCCACTAGATGGGAGAGGTTAAAGTATCACCATGTTATTTACATTTTTAAAACCCATCCTTCAGTTCTTAAGCTTCCCTCTCAGAACATCAAAGACTCAAGAGAATGGTTCTTCAAAGAGGAACCTTGTACATAAAATTTTACACACAGAGAAACTGTATGTAAAACGTTGTGAATGTGGGGAGAGGGTATATAGCTTTCATCAGAGCCTCCGGAATTTCCTAAAAACAGATAACAACCAGCACTCTGGAGACTTTTTCCAGATTTTCCTTTTCTTTAGCACTCAGTGGAAGAGGAGAGTTGTGGTAGCGAGTCCTGATGGGTGTAAGAGAAATGCACCATTTAGCATGGTGGCCCAGAAAGGCAGCTCATCCAGCTGGCTGGGCTAGGTCTTCAGGAGGCTTTTCTCATAAGCCCTGAGAGAGCCACCAAACATCCCTGCCAGCCTCTTTTTGCTGGAGGAGCGGCTGGTTTCCTGGAACCTTCTAATAACTGTGAATTCTCTTCATCCTTCTGTGGAGCAGTGATCTTCCTATTCTGAGAATCTTGAATCACCCTTTGCTGGAACAATCTTGGCTTTGTTAAATAACTTCAGTGACTCAGAATTTTTCCCCTTTCACTCCTTTGCATCACTTTCTTTCCCTCTGCAAACACTACGATCACCGTAGGATCTTTTTACCCCAGAACCTTTCTTTGTGGATTTTTTCTTCCATCCTGTCTAGAAACCCTGTGTCCCCTCACATAAGTAAGAGTATAGAGATGGTTAGCTCAAGATCTTTTACTTTCCCCTCCTTTCAAGAAACCAGCTTGCGTTTTTAGCACCTATAATGGGTTGGTTCCTGCTTCCAGGAGGAAGACCAGCAGGACACATGGCTGCAGCCACTGTGACTGTCCTCTTTGTTTCCTTGCCTTCTGGACCTCACATGGTCACGCCGTGGGTTCCCTTGGAAATCCTTATTTGGCTCTGCCTATTTGCTTAGCAAACTAATGGCTCCAGAGGGTTGCCCGGAAATGCTACCTACCTGTTTGCTTCCGCCAGCTTTCTACACTCAGTACTCTGCTGAGGAGCGGGCAGTTCCACTCTGCTGTCAGGTAGGGGTCAGTGAAATGCAGACAGATCTCAACCAGGAGTATTTTAAAGTCATACACTCTCCTGCACCTGTCTCCTGCTGCATGTCTGTGCCAGGTCAGGCTCAGATTCCCCAGTGCGCCAGTCCAAACCCTCTGGAAGCCTCCTGTCAGTTACTGAATAAAGTTTTCATCTGGGACACTGACAGCTCTCTCATGACTTCAGAAAGTACACGTGGCTTCCCACATTGCTTAAGGTATTTCCTGGGAGTTGCTGAGAGGATGGAAAAACTCCCTCTAAATGGCTGCCACCAGAGCTGTTTTTGCCAGGCTGTGGCTCATGAGCCAGAAATGGAAGCTGGCTTCTGGTGCCAGTTTCAGCTCCCCACCACTTGTCAGGGCTGCCCCAGAGTGAGCTGCGGACTCATTTTACTCTCATCCTGCCCCATGTGGAGATAAATGTAGTGCGGCCTAAGCGCGCCACTCTGAAGAGTTTGCAGTAATTTGCTAATAAATTGGGTCCTGTATATTTGGCTGTGTTTGTTGAAAAGGAGCATATTTTGTTTCTAAATCAATTATTTGAGTGTTTCTAATGTTAGAAATTATTTCCAGTGTCCACGGCAGAAAATGTTTTGTATGCTGTAAACCTTACTGGAGGCCCCAGGTTTATAATAAGTCCCTTGCTGTTGGATCGTAGTGTGCCCTTTGGTACACAAACCACTGTGAGAAATGACTCGGAGGACATATCTGATCTCAAATGTCAGCCAGACTCACAATCAGGACTTTACACTAGAGACCTGTGCAGAATGCACATTTGATATCTGAGAGAGACAGAAACAAGCTTTTTATACTTCCCTACGCTCCCAGAAATAGGTTCTGTAGTCTAACATTTCATTCATTCCCTCACAAACTATTTACTGAGGATCTATGATGAGCCAGTTAATGTTTTAGAGGAAAAGAGACCTAGCCCCTGCCGTCATGGGGCTTACAGTCTAGAGAAATGTAGGGGAATTGGCACTTAAATGAGCTGTTTCTTTTGTACCGGGTAGAAGCCACTCTAGAGAATAACGTGGGTGAACAATGAGACACCAGATGGGGTAATTGCCAATTTCTGGCTTTACAGGGCCAGCACGCAAGATTCAAGAAGTATGTGGGGCACAGCGCACATGTCACCAACGTGAGATGGCTGCACAACGACTCTGTGCTGCTCACGGTAGGCGGCGCTGACACAGCCTTGATGATCTGGACGAGGGAGTTTGTGGGGACCCAGGAGAGCAAGCTGGTGGACAGCGAGGAGTCAGACACTGATGCAGAAGAGGATGGAGGTGAGCCCCAGCCGCGCCTGCTTCCACACCCCCTCCCGAGCCCCGCCAAACCAACTCAGTCCCCCATCTCTTTCTGTTGTTTGAGGCTATGACAGCGACGTTGCCAGAGAAAAGGCCATTGATTACACCACCAAGATCTATGCCGTGAGCATCAGGGAAATGGAGGGCACCAAACCACACCAGCAGATGAAAGAAGTTTCAATGGAAGAAAGGTATGATGTCGCCAGGTTTGTTTGCATCTGTGGTACCTGATGACAGGAAGCGCATTTAAACCAGTGTGCATTTTCTTTGTCCTCAAAGTTGCTACTTAAGCTAGTCCTTTACCTGTATGCACAGAGACTTAACCTGCACACAGGCTTCAGCTGGGGAGAGTTTCCCACAGGCTTCAATATATGGCAAAGCATGGGTTAGGCTTTGCCAAGGTTGTTTATGGAATATGACTTGAGTAGACATGAGATTTATTTGGACTAGGCTTCCCTTGCCCAGAGAGCATGTCGGGATAGACAGAAAGCTGTCCTGAATGTGATGGCTGACAGGAAAGCATGCTGACTAGAGAGGTAGGAGGGAGGGCAGGCTTCTAAAGTCACAAAGGAATATTTGTGGGTTGTGAAAAATAATCTTGCATTCTAACCAAAGTCGGTGTGTTACTCTGTATCACTTGGTGTACCATCTCTTACTGTGTCTTCTTCATCTGCCCAAATTTGTTCAGGTGTGTTTGGTGATTCTAGGCCTAACCAGTTTGAGGTTTTTGTCTTGGATGCTCTGTGTAGAAGGAAAGTTGCTGGTATTACTTTTAGGCCTTTTGGATGTGCTATTGTAAGTTATTACTGTAATTGACAAGAGAAATTGTCAAACGCTTTAACATTTGTAAAAAAAAACCCCTCATAATTACTACTATCAATTTACCATATTCATACTAGGGAGGATAAATAGTGAATAAAAACTCTAACATCTAAAGAGAACTTCATGGATCTCAAAGATGTTTAAGAATTCTCTGTGGGCTCTTCATATTGACATGGGTTCAGTGGTCACAGCTACCCTGGTCCCATGATTCATAATTGATGAGATTCAAGTTGTTTTTTGCATTCAGCATAGCTTTCTGCCTAATAACTATTGGGTTGTCGGAAAAGTCATGACACATTTTTGTAACGAAAAACATAGAAAAAATATGTCATGACTTTTTCTGACAACCCGATATTTAATAAAGTTGACCTATCGCCTTTTACTATTAGGTGGGATTTTAGATACAAAGAAAGAAATGTCATTTCCCCCTCCTGTTTCGGTTCAGTGCCAGATGTTAAAATAAGCTTGATAAATGGTGGGTATGCTATAAGCAAGAAGATTGAATCCAATGCAAAAAATCCTAGTTCACTCCTAGCATCTTTGTTAGATGTTACTATGAAGGCTCAGAGTTCTGTTTTGGTTAAAAAAAGTTATAGGGATTTTTCTGCAATAGTCTGTAAATTATAGTTTATTTTGCTTGTAACATGGTTTTCTAATGGCCTAAAAGAGGAAATAATTTTAAAGGACCTACTTTTCTAAGAATAAAGTAAAAAAGAACCATATGCATGAATAGGCCTCCCAGTTAAATCATCTCTAAAAACATTTGGCCTAAATTAAACATTTATTTGAAAAAAAAAAATGACTTGACCTTTCCAATTTCACATAACATTATGTAATGAGTTGACTTGGCTATTATTCCAAGGTTGTTTGTGGCTTATTTCTACAACCAGTGCTTCACAGCATGATGATGCTATGATTTAGACTGGCCACTAAGATGTAGAAATCTAAACAAATTCCTAATTCTAAACACTACAGCTGGTTTCTAACCTAAACTGTGGCTCATCTAAACCCATCTTGGTCCTGGTGTCTCTTTGGGCAGGTCTGTAAAAATTTCATACCTGTGCAATTTACAAACAGGTGGGTGAGGTGGAGGTAGAGAGGACCCTAAAAAGCATTTTCAATCTTAAAATCCAGAATTTTAAAGCTACCTTATCATCCTCAACATGCCAGATTAGGGACTTGTCATTCACAGCGTACACAGGATTGGTTGGTTTTTTTTTTTTTTTCAATACAAAAGAAAAAAATGCTTCATAGTATTCTGAGATGTAGGGGGAGTTATTTTAGTACTTTACTGGTATTTTAGAAAATAATTCACACCAGGGTGTAGTGAAGAAAACAATTTTAAGATAAATATAGGGTCCGGAGGAATAATCAAGCCTTTTCTATAGCTAGCAATGTCTTTGATAACTTAAGAGCCTTGACAGTCTCAGTTCCCACAGCGGGCTGTAACCAGAGAGCAGGATGCCAGCTGCACACAGCATTCTGGGAACAAAGCGGGACCACACCAGGAAGGGCTGAGCAGAGAAGGAGCAGTAAATGGTATCTGAATTAGCAGCCTTCATGGGTAAAATTCCTAATCAGAGCTGAGAACAAGTGGTCTCTACCACTCCTTGTCAGTGATTTTAGGGGAACTTGAACCTCAGAGATAGGACTGTAGACAGCTTCTGTACTGCAGAAGAGACAAATAGGTTCCAGGCAAGGCAGGGCCTTCAGAGAATTTGTGAGGAAGTAGGATGAAAAAGGAAAGGTGGGGCAGGGAGGACCCCTTACAATAAGTCAGGCAGACAGCTCACCTGAGTCCTCCCAAAGGGCACAAAATGGATTCCATGGACTCCAGTGTCCTGGGCATGAGAGAGAGAGAGACAGAAATGCCTGGGGATCAAACATCAGGATCGTGGGGTCAGACAGCACCCAGGTTCGTCCTGGGACTATTCAGGACACTAGTCCCCTTGACTACTTCAAACCCTGCTGATTCAATAGGCAGAGGCTCTCCTTGACCTTCCCTTTATTGTCCCTTCTTGTGTTTACCTGCCCATACCTGCCTGTCCCTAGGTGCCTTTTCTATACACCTGGCCGAGACATGCACCAATAAGATTAATGGGAGACAAATACTAGAGGACCACAAGAGATAGGAGCTTGGAACACCCACGCAGTGCAGGAAGCTGTTTTGCCTCTTGCCAATGTTTCAGGCAGCCCTACCTCTGGTTTAAATCCCTCTCCACCTTAGAAACTGTGAGATAAGAACAGCGTGTCTCATATAGAGAACAATGCCTTGAAGGCAGTTGCGCATTATGCATCAATCATTTTTTTTAAGCAACTGAAAATTCCTAATTCCTAAAATGTAAGACTGTCATAGATTATTTCAAATTCAACTTTATTAATTGTTTTTAAAATAACCGTAAGGCTTTAGATTGTACTTCTTTGTACCCTTTCTAACACATCGTATGTTCTTATTCTTCAGAAGTCATCCCATCTCCAGTTTCAATCTTTTTGAGACGTGGGAAAGAGGAGTGAAATTTGTAATTGCTCTTAAAAGAATCCTGAGCTAATCCCACCAACATGGAATCCCTTTTAGGTGTTCATTGTGTGTCCTGGTCACCCACTTCCGCTTTGCTAGAGCATGCTGGGAGCCTTGCCTCTGTGACCCTGGCACACTTATCTAGCCCCTCGCCAGACCTTGGTGAGCCCATGGCCATTTCTGCTGCTCAACAGCCATGTATGGCGTGTGGCTGAGGAGAGTCACTGAAATTTTTTCCAGTTTTGGGAATCCATGCTTTCAGACCTCATCTAGACACTCAGGGCTGCCCCAGAGTGCTCGCCTTCATCCCCAGCTGACTCCATCTAATTCATAGCTAGAGCAACCTTTCTAAGCCTCTCCCACCTCTCCAGTTCCCAATTTCAGCCTGACACTCCCCCTTGCTCTCAACTTTTGACCTCATCTCCTACTTTGCCATGTTTTCATAATCTGAGCGCTGTTTTGTCCATCTGCAAACGTAAATTTATTATTTAATATTTTAAATGTCAGGAAGTTCCTTTTGAGAAATGAAGAAAACAGGATGGGGGAAAGCATAGTTTTTCAGAACAATTTGAGGTACAAAATGTTTACCATCATCGTGGTACAAGGAATAATACCAAATTCCTGTATTCTGGCTTTGGTAAAAAACAAATAGCTCTCCCAAACTCAAGAGGGGACAAAATCCCTAAAATTTGCTAAGTATCAGGTTATTAGAGTTGCCTGTAAAATTATGAAGTTTCTTATAATACATTATCAAAGTCACAACTCATTTATTGTTTTTGTTTTTTTAATTTATTTACAATGTAGGGATTTTACTTGCAAGAGGCTTACCCAAACCAAACTGGCCTAAGCAAAAGGAACCTATTGGCTCACACACCTGAAATTCCAGGCGTAGGGTGACATCAGGTATCATTTGATGTGGGAAGTCAAATCTCGCTGCCAGGCTTTGTTCTCTCCCCACATCTCAATTCTGCTTCCTCTGGGTTATTGCAGTTTTTCAAGTGGAAAAATAGTGGCAGTACCAGAACCTTACAGCCTCTGTGGTTCAAAACCAGCTGGAGAGAGCTGCCTCTGATTCATAAGTCCCCACATAGACCTTATGATGTGCTACTGGCTCTGATTGGTCACATGACCACCCTTGAATTGATCAGTGACTTGGGATACATGAGCTTTTGATGATTCTTACATAGTTTCCTGCCACCCATTGACTAGCAGCAGTGTAAATCACTTCCAACAGAAGTAAAAATCCAGGACTGTTATCAAAATTAGAGTGATTGATTTCTGGATGGACGCAAAACAACAAATGTCTATTATAGTCCACCCTTTTCTTGTCACATACACACTCTTAAAATGCCCCCAGGCTGGCCGAGTGGCGTGTCGGTTAAGATGCCCCCAGGCTGGCCGAGTGGCGTGTCGGTTAAGAGTTGGCTTGGGACGCCAGCTCTGAGCAGCAGGTTCGGATCCCACATGAGGGCCAGTGACGCTGTGCCCTCTACAGCTAAGATGGTGAACAACAGCTCGACCTGGAGCTGGGCTGCCATGAGTCGCCAGAGACGGTGTAGGCTGCAGGGGGGCTGGCCAGGAGCAGGCATGTGCTTTCATGAGCTGCCATGAGCCATCATGAGCGGCCATCCAATGGCCGGCGAATGATTGCCTCACCCAGGAAGAGCGCAATAATAATACCTACATGGGCCAGTGAAGTGATGTCCTCCACAGCTAGACTGAAGAACAAAAGGACAGCAACTTGTCTGTTCCCTTCCACCAATTCCCCAATAGTCTTTAAAAAAAAAAATGCTCCCAAATTAAACTCTCCCACATATGATTGAAAATGCTGTTATCCCTCCCCAAAGGCAG